GCAGGAGGCAACTGACAGTGAAAATATAAATGAATGCTCGGTATATTCAACGAGAAACGAGATCGTGTATATCCAAGGTCTTTTGCTCTGTTTAACTCGTCGACTCTTAGCAATGGACTGAACAGATACACCACCCCTCGTGTGTCTTTCATCTCTTCATTTTTATTCTCCCGTACACTTTTTCCCCTCGAGAAGAAAACATTGGACTTTACACGCTTTGCTTCGAGGAAATCAGAAAAAAATGTGAAAATCCACAACGCTTTGCAAGCAACGACGAACAAACAGAGTAATTTCGACTGGGGCAGGTGGATGGAGAATTCCATCGCCGAGAACACTTCATGGAAGAAGAATCATTCGATATCTCGAAATATCGGCCGGGTGAATTGTTAGTCGCGGTAAACAGAATCGTTCTTTTCGATCGCACCTCTTTCACCCCCACCGATGAAAAACGAATAGAATTTCCCCACGCCCCACCCCTCAACCCCCACGTTTTCACGAATACACGGGCACAGGACGATGCTGCTCCGCGCACGGAATACATTCAGTTCGACAGTTATATTCACACGCGTGGTCGCACCTCAATGGATTTTGCTTTTGCCGCGATTGTTAACGGATTTCGAAGCCCTCGGTGGCATCCGCGGTTTGTGATCCGTCCACCACTCACCACCACCCCCTCCCGCTCCACCAACCACCCCCGTCTGTCACTCAGTGTTCTAAATCGCTCCACCGTGATATCCTCTTCACTGTTTTTTTTTCATCCGTATTTACCAATTCGTCTCGACTCGATCGACGACCGCGACTCTATTATCGATAATCATTCAGACTCGAGAACGGTTCGGGGGAGCCCCCGTGTGCTCGATCCCGCTGGTTCTTTTTCTTCCTCTAACCGGGGAAAAAACACCAATAATTTTCTCCAAATAATCACGGTATTTCGTTAGTTCCCGCGGAAACCTGGCACGGGAAACAATGGAGGCGCGACTGCTGTAATAAGAATGGCTCTGAACGGAAACGTAAGAAACTTTGGAGGCTTTTATATTCATATATTCAGGGTGAGTCAATAAGAACTACTATCTAAAATAATTCCTTGCCTATGGCTGCATCAAAGAACATTTTAATGAAATATGTAACATTTTAAGGGACGCATCGGATAGATAGAATTTCATTTTTTATATTTTATTTCCTTTCAAATATCAAGGTGACCTTGAATTTTTTTCAAGGTCAATGCATCTTTATTTTAATACCACGTTTTTGTTCATAAAAGGACAAATTCATCGACCTGTAGCATGATGGTATTAGAAAAGAGATACATTTAAAATAAACCTGGGGTATATTTACACCCCTGTGCACAGGGAGAAGGTTAAATAAATATTAAAACTGTTCAATTAATAGTTTCGTAGTTGAAATTACTGACTCGTATCACTGGTCCGTTTCGTAAATACATATGTAGCCATAACAAGGGGCAGATTGCAGGGGATTAGTGTCCTCGGCCGTTGGTAGATGGCGCGTGTCACAAACTCAAAATGAATTTTTCTCGCAAGAGCTCACACGTCATACTATTACTATATAAGCGTCGTCGTTAGAGATTCTAATGTACTTGCTTCGGCAGTACATATACTAAAATTGGAACGATACAGAGAAGATTAGCATGGCCCCTGCGCAAGGATGACACGCAAAATCGTGAAGCGTTCCACATTTTTTGCCTTGTTATGTGTAAAATTCCCTTTATCCATTTTATTAAATATCGTATATTTAATTTATCCAACTGTAGATTTAAATTACTGTTTTTTTTCTTTCATTACTCGTAACAAGTTATGCGATGTACTGTATATTTCATGCGTCCTCAAATATCACATGATGTTGATTGAGGACGCATACGTTATTGCATACCGTGTCAAGAGTAATGAAAAAAAGAAACAGTAATTCATCTATACAGAGCAATTACGCGTTATTTGTTTAGTCGATCTTGATAGGCGAAGGGAGAGAGTAATTGACTGTGTTTCGGTAGCTAATCCACGATCATTCACCCTCCTACTTATCCTGGAAGGAGTGAAAAGGTCCACCCCAAACCGAATCCTATTTGCGTCCGTCACATCGGTGGGTGACTGTATCGGGATGAACTTTCGGTGTCCCACGAGGGGGCCAAATATCACAAATTACCGATAACAATCGGATAGCCGAGGGGTGGGGGAGGATGATTTCGCAGGCAATTCATGGGCGATTCGACCAGCCTAATTTCCATTGATTAGACGGGGCTCTGAGCGAATCGTCGACAGATGCGATCAGCTGTTCGTTGAATTCTTTTCGAGAGATTATTCCTCTTACAAGAGGATTGAAAATTCTTATCCTAAATTGGGTTCAGCGTGAAAACGAAAAGAGAATTGAAACGTCAACGGTCGTGTGCCGCTTGGAAAAATTCTTTTCTCGTTCGTCGTCCAAGTCATGATATACCCTGATCCAAAATTCATCCAGTTCAGACGATACGGTTTTTAATAAGCATACCGACGCGCGACAGTTGGATTTTCGTTGAAGATACCGAATAAGACGAACTGCTTTATTAACAATTCCATAAAATTACCAGAATCGGTAAAAAAACAAACCCGTCCCGTCTGAACCGACTGTTATCGGTTCTCCGAAGCGTCTTTGTTTTCGCAGCCTCGACGCCGCTCAATTTATATCCCTTCTTGTCCTTCATGCATTTATTCCGCCATTTGCGCGGCTCCGAGGCCCTTTTCCAGCGCGCACGAACAAGAAGACGCGCTCGGGCCGCTTTGCTGCCCCCTTGAATTAATCCCCTGCATACGTTAATCCTAATGAATTCACAAACGCGCGCGCCGTCGTGTCCGATTCGAGGGGGGGGGGGAGGGGTGTACGCCGACGAGGGGTTCTCCGCTTTATACAGGTGCCAGAACCACGCAAACTCGAGGCCTCGACGGAACCGAGCCATTAAAATACCGATCCACATAGCAACCCCACCGATGCACACGGACGCGATGCTTCTTGTTCCCTTCTGTTCGCGCTACGAAGCCCGGAGAGATTCGCGGGATTTTATGCGACGCCACGCGACGTCCTCGCGTTTGCCGAAAAAACACACGAGGGAACTAACAACCCCCTTTACACGCTCTCTTCTTTCATCGATCGTTTTCAGCTTTTGTTTTTATTGTCCCGTGGTCGTCCGAAAACAACGGGGATCCACGGGCGACCATCACACGGTTACCTCTTGAACCCCCCTGTTTCTTCGTTAAATCGACGTACCCTTAGCGAACCCAGTTCCTGATCACTTAAAAGTAACGTGTCGTCGGTTTTTTAACGGACAAGCAGACAAATTAACTAAATCCAAAAGAATTGTTTTGTTATTCGAATAAACATACGTTGTACCTTTAATTTTGCAATAACCCTGGCAAAAAAAAAAACGCGATTAAGGCGGCGCGAAAAAGAAGAGCGAGCCAGCGGGCGAGGTCAACGAACTGCGTCGTCGATCTCTTCCCCTGTTTTTCCCCCGTTCCGAATCGAGTCGAATTTCATACCGCGGATGATTTTACGGAACGGGGAAATATTTAGGTATGGAAGCCAGCAGCGAATGCCTATGTACTATGCACGATGCACACCGGGGTCCATAGAGTCGCGCGAAACGCTCCCGAAAGATAAGTAGCGACGAGGTGAATAGACTAACGGGGCGACTCGAAAAGCCCCTGGGGGGAATTGTGGGGTAAAGGGGGTTGAAAGGGCGGGGGTGGGGGGCACGGGTGTCGAGGATTGGTGGTTTCCATGCATCATGCATATTTACGCTCACCTACTAGCCGGGGCAAGATCTACGGAGCCGGCCTGGACGAGTGTTTCGCAAATTGCGAGAACCGTATTTATGCAAATACACCCCCCGCCTGCATTCGCCTTCCGCCCCCCCCCTTTCTGCACCACTTTCCCGACGCGGACGGTTTCAACTAGCGCCAAATTGACTTCGTTAGAGTCTAGCCCGGCTCTTTCAAACCGCGCGTAACAGTATATGCGTGTATATATTAGGTGTGCAAATTAATTCGTGGCCATCATTTTTGGATTTGTTTATTTACAAAAAGAAAACAGTCTTGTCTTGAGAATACTTATTCCTCATCACTTTCCACGCATTTAAGATATATTAATTATAAATTTTAATATATATATATTTAAATACATTTTTATTTTTTTATAGATTCTTATTTTAGGATATTTTTGTTTATTTTTTTTCTTCTAAACTGCCGTTTCTCGGACAATTAGGGAATCCTCTCTCGAGAATATTATGGCGAGTTTCAGTCGCTAATTGATCAAATTAATTTGTATACCTAATACATACATACTTATACGATAAAAAACAAAAGAGAAGAAGAATTCCCGTGAGGGATCGGTCGTTTCGTCCGTTTCCCGGTAAGCTGCGCGCGGCGTGGAGAAACTAGGTAGACCGGAGGGAAAAACATTGGAAAAACGCAGTCAGACTGTTGAGCCACCCCATGGGCAGTGAGAGGAGGGATAACAATCGCGATATCACGGCGACCGAGTGTATATACATCCGGCATATTCTCTATCTCTCTATCCCAGAGAAACGTTTCACATCCAATTTGTTCCTCTCGTTTCGCGGTAATCGCTCGCCAATGACTTTCCCCTCCATCTCCTCTCGGTCCCCTCCTCAGCCGTTTCCACGGAGCTCGTCGCTCTCGCCAGGCCAGTGTATATACAGGGTGTTAAAAAAAACCATTCGATATTTATATGGTGCAGACTCCTCTTGATTATTGTCCCGATCCTGAGTCTGCGCCGGGACAATAATCTTATAGGGAGTAATGGTATAGAGACCCTGGTAAATTCGTTTTTTTTTCCCGAAGCCCGAGCCTCGGCAACAAAAGCAGAGGGGCAGCTAAATATACGCTTGACATGTTCCACGGCCTCCCCCAAGTAGTGGGGATAACGGACAATAATCGTGTAGAACAAGCCAGACAATGATCGAAAGGAGTCTGTACATAGGAATATATAAGAAGATGCGTATGGAAATGGAAGGAGAACACGTGAAACACCTGTAAATATCGAAAAGCCAGTATAGTAAGTCAATCATGATGCTACAAACAAAAAAGTTCATATCTCAGAAGTGTTGACCTCTCGACCTATGTTTACCAAGGTTGTTCCACTACAGTGTGTTTTATGTAAAGTGCGTTGCTCGGAAGAAGTCCTCCGAGGCGGCACAGGAGCAAGAGGGGTAGACTGCTCACAGGCGGTGCTGTGTGGTCTGATTACTCGATGTCGTCGCGCTGACCAATAGAAACAATGCGTGTGCCCAATAACCAATCGGATTCGTATACCCTTCGGAGGTCTTCTTCCAAGCAACGACGTTACCTGCCATATAAATATCGAATGGTTCTTTTCGTACACCCTGTATGTATGCATTTCGGAGCGTGCACCGAAAATACACCTGGAAGGCACTCGGGGGTGTCTTCTCCCTCGTTGCAGCAGCTCACCCGTGTCATTCCTTCGGTTTCTCCCCAGTCGCCAGGCCAACCCTCCGTTCGCGCGCAGGCAGGCCGTTTTCCGTTCGACCAATGACGGTCGAGCGGTAGCGCTTTCCGCCCCCCTCGTTGGCGAGTTAACGCGACCAATGGAGGGACCTGGAGAACCGTTGGCGGTAGGGGGGACCCTGCACCGTCGTTTCCACCCCCAAAATGGCTGCGAGATCTCGCGGGCATTAGGCAGCCCGTTCAGAATAAACGGGCGGATTAATTGGAGCGGGATGGCGAGCGGGGGTTCGTCCCTTCCGCGAGCAACCCCTCCGGCCTTAACTCGCGTGGCAACGATTCTTCCCACCTCCACATCGACGGCACGGGGGCAAACGTGTGTGCTTTCGTCACGATGGTGGAGGTGGAGAACGAAGTACCGTCGACGATACGGCAGGGTTGAACAGGCACATCCGGTCATCCTCCGCGGTTTCTCTCGGGGGACGCAGAACGACGCCACGCGTCCACGCGTTAGCATGAAACTCGCGTCCGTTGCTAAGGTGTTCACGCGGCGACAAATCATCGGTTACGTTCGTTTGGTTCGCGCTTGATTACTCTTACGATTTTTTTTCTTTATCCGACAAAGTTTTTCCGTCGATAAGTTTGATCGTTCTTCGGAAGAGAGTCCGAGCGGGTGCACGGTGAGTTCAGTACATTAATTGGTTATTCCGGTGCGTGAGTTTCATGACTGTATTGTAGAATTTTTCGTGAGCAATCAAAGTGCAGTACACAAAGTTTCTTTTTCCAATGACTTAATTGTACTTTTAACAATATTTATACAATTTTTTTACGACGAAGAAATAGGTGTAAGATGTGTACCGGTTTATCGAATTGTAGAAGTCGATCTATCAAAAGGGTCCATTAACGAATCGTAGAATTACTCGATTCAAGTGCCGAATAGACTGAGAAACGAAGTCCTCTGTGGGAGAAGCTGTCGCGTGACCGGCAGCCGCCTAGGATTCTCGTTACGGGGATGCCCCGCGGCGAAGTTCTATTATTTTATAGCCACGATACGTAGGCCCCAAGGGCGCCTGGTCGCTCCCGACGGGGTGGTGGTGCCCCATTAACGACAATCCTACAGATGGCCCGTGCCCGCGGAAGGATACGCGTTAGGTCTCGTTAACGGGAATTTTCGTCGACGATCACGAGCGTGTCTTGCTGCGCCTTTATTGGCCAATCGCCTCCGCTACAACCGTTCCCATAATTGAGATCGTTTACCATAAACCAAAAGCGATTGTGATCCCGTGCATACGTGGTGCCGTATACACGCACGTGTATGTATATCTGTATTGTTCGAGTTAATCGACTTTGGGAGCAGAATCGATTTCTGGACGTATCGGGACCTTTGTACCGAAACCCCGCGAAATTGGATTGTTGTACATATAGTGTATTTGATCGCGCCGTACCTACACCGTTACGGACCCAGTTTCTGATCAGAACCCGATTCTTGATGAGTTTAATAGGTAGATTACCATAGACACAATATGTTTATTATGACATACATTTATTCCACAAAGTTACAAAAGAATTATTAACTGTTTTGAAAATTTATACGTAGTATTCGATAGCTCGGAGTGATATAGAAATATATATGATTTTAGGTGATCAGAAATTTCTCCCATTGCAATTCTTACCGTAGAAATTAAATGACAATTTTATTATTGTGTTTGACACGACATAGATTATGATAAAACATAGATTTGCTCGAATAACGACAGGTGTGTACACTGTGAAGGCCACCCGCGGAAAAATTCTAATTATTCGTATGGAATAACGAGCGTGCTCCATTCTAGAAGACTCTGAGGACGATTCGGCGGTGCACTCGGACTCCGAGGACACGATAGACCCCGGCAGCAGTCCTTGCACACGACTGGAAAGTCCTCCACCAGCTCTGTCGCCGTCAACGTCTCCGGCGGCGGCCACTTCCGGCAAGAGTTGCGGGGCGAACAACGGCCCTCCCAGCGGCAGGAAGCCGAGGAGAAGACGAACGGCGTTCACCCATGCCCAGCTGGCTTATCTCGAACGAAAATTCCGTTGTCAGAAATATCTCAGCGTGGCAGATCGCAGCGACGTCGCGGACGCGCTGTCGCTCTCGGAAACCCAAGTGAAGACCTGGTACCAGAACAGAAGGTACAGTTATTACTGTGTTGAGGCTTCCGAGTGTAAGCCGTGTCCCGGTGGAATTATTTTCCCAGAGTTTCCCAAGACGCAGTGTACTGGTGTGTGCTTTGTGGTGCTCCACTAATATATCTACCGATATATATATATATAGCTGACTAATATAAAAGATATCCTTAATTTTTTATTTTTCAATTTTATTTTTAGTTTTTCCAATCTAATAATTTCACCGGGAAACGGCTTACACTCGAAAGCCTCAATAGTAATAACTGTATGATGCGTGAAAGCCTCAAATCTCTTATCAGAACAGGTGTTTATCCCTTGGGACCTACTTCCTCTCCCCCCTTCCGTTCACTCGAAAAAATAACACGACTGTTGATAAACACGCGCGCGAAATACATTGGCGTGTTCCAGAACCAAATGGAAGCGACAGAACCAACTACGATTGGAACAACTCCGTCACCAAGCGACGGTGGAGAAGGAGCTGCTGGTGCGCGGTGTCGGTCTTCATCACGGTGGCATAGACGCGTACTGTCCACCTTACAACGCTCAAACGCAGACCCAAACACATCCACCACCTCCTCCGCCTCCTCCGGCGCCGTCCAGCGCCTCGACGGCCGCCTTTCTGTCGACGGCGGCTGCACTTTTCCGGAACGTGACCTACGTCCACGGATGCCCCCTTTAACCCGGCCGATCGTCGCGGTTCCAGGATCGTTTCCGTTTCTCAGCCGTCTGGGTCAACGTCGGGATTCCCTTCTTTCTGAGAAGGAACATCGCGACGGAAACGGATCCGTTTCGTAAACCTCGATGCTCGTGGATTCTCGACGTCGTGAGTCCGAACAGTTCGTCGTGGTTACTACTGGGAACTTCGAGCGGGATTCTCGGCTGTTTGATTCGTCGTTCGTCTCGAACGTTTGAAAAATCCTCCGAGGCTTTGAAACGGTCCGTAGACGACCGTCAGGCAACGTCGTGGCGCGGTGAAGTGCGCGAAAACGAGGAACGACGTGAAAGCAAAGACAATCTTTCCGTTCTTGGACTCACAATCAGACGATCCCGTGACGCGTCACTGGGGTTGTTTCTCGTGTTTATTTCTGCATGCGAGACAGTGTAAATATGTAATTATGGGAAGTTGCTAGGTTAGCCTGTAGTCAATTTGTTCTCGCTTCGACGAGGAAATATTTGGGAGAATACCTATGGAGTCTTCATGAAGTTGACAACGTTTCGTGACACGCCGTCGAGATTACGTTTCCTCGGAGTTAACCCTTCCAGGCCCAGACTCCTAAATCGTTATTTTAAAATTATGAGACTGATACATGTGTCGTGTCTTGGTATTTTATAGTCGAAAATATCGATATTGAATAGACCTATTTTCTTCTATTTTTTTTTCGAGGGAATAATTGCATTTTTCAATTAAAAACGTGGAGAATCTACTTCACACCAGTATAACTACAGATCGTTGCTGAGAAAAGTTAGATATCAACCGGCGACAGAATTTTATGCACTTTTAAAATGACTGTTGCACCAGAACAACACTGGACATTAATGGGTTAACGAACACGCGCGGCTCCTTTGGCGGAAACGTTCTTCTCGATCGTGGGAACGAAAGCTGACGATGAGTCGGTAGCGAGACAAGAGTTCGTAGATGTGTCATAGAGTTTTAGAGAACCGTAATCGGGAACAGAGAACGGGGTGGACGACGACGTATAATGTTACGAGTACACGGCTACCGGTTTCACGGCCGATTTTCCGTTTAGTGATTTAGTTGGTTAACGATCACCGCTGATAATCCGCATCACCTTTGTCCAGGCTAGTCGACGACTGTTTCGTTACCCGAAAGATTCTTGTAGATAAAATAAATTACTATCGAACAGAGCTGACGCAGTCATTTTGATTACCGGTTCCTACGGTTCTTCGTTCAATCTAGAACCAACACGACATGGTATATACATATTCCCTTGAATACAGTAAATCATCGATGAACGTTCCACTGAGTGTTCAGACGTTATCCCCATCATTGTCAGTGTGGAGGTCCCTTCGGGCACTCATCGATGTTTTACTGTACTCCTCCGATCTTGAACGTTCTACTTGCTTCCCTCCGAATGTACACCCACGAGCAAACTCGGTTTCCTCTAGAGAAAAAAGTTATGTAAGGAAAAAACCTTCTACCACTTGGTCTCGGGGTTAATGAAATTTATGCCAAATTAACATTCGGTTTAACATTTGTTTCAGTATTTGAAGTAAATTTACCAAGCTGTAGGAGGCCCTTATCATTACGCCTCTTTTCCTCTAGCGGATGGCCTCCTATCACTTGGTAAATTTATTTCAAAATTAATTAATTAATTTGACATAAATTTCAACATTCTTCAATAAGTGGTAGGAGGTCCTTTCCCTAGGTTACTTTTTTCCCTAGTGGAAGCCGAGTTTCTTAGTCAGTGTAGAACCTTTCGACATCCGAACTGAAGCTCCGCGGACAAGGGATCGAGCCAGAAAACCGAGATACGATTGGTGTTTTCGACTGGACGGCAATAATAACTAATCCGTGTACGAAATAGAGATTCTAAATACCGCGCGTGACAATAGGGCACGTGGCCAAGAACACGCGATTCGCGAGCCCCAACCGGAAAGTAATTGGCTGAAACCGATACAAGTCGAGTGCCGGCGCCACTCGTGGCTGGAATTGGTTGGTGGATTTAATTGAACGGAATCGACGGGAACGCTGAAACAGTAGTGAAAAACGGAAGGGTGAGAGAGAAAGAGAGACGGAGAGATGAGGCCCGTTGTGGATCGCAGAGAAAACGCGGCGGCGATTGTCGGGGATGATTTTCTCGCGACGCGGACGAACCTCGCAGTTAATTGGACCGTGGAGAGAGAGAGAGAGAGAGAGAGAGGGAGATATAGAGACCATGCAGGAAGGACGTAGAAGACGGAGAGAAGTGTACGAACTCGTTACACGGATGATTAGACTGGCATTACGACGAGACACCGATTACGATCAACACCGACGAAACACCGTTAATCACTCTTTTCCTTTGGATCTCGTGCAAGACTCGATACGAGTGGACGTGAACGGTCCCTCGAGGAGACAGATATCAGACACGGGAAATTGAGTTTCTCGAACAAAAAATTTGATTCGAAAAGACGAGTGTCGAGAGTCGCGGCTTCCCAACGACCCGGTGAGTTCTCTTTCACGTCGATATCACGAAGTCACTAATAATAAGGGTACATATATAGGAGATTATTATTATTTATTTATTTAATGAGCAATAAGCTCTTTGGTATAAATGCGATTAGAAAGTTATACAATTGTAATACCAACAAAAAAAAAGATAGCAGGAGTAGTTATCTAGAGAGGATTTGGATTACATTACGCTTGCAGGTGTGAAAGAACGAAACAAGTCTATGTAATCGTTATACTGGTTAACGTTCGTGTCACCGACTGGGTTATTAACCTATTTATGCAATTACACTGGCCATATAGGGTTCCGTAAAATTCTTGTTTAATAAGTAATCAGTGTCTAATCGAGGGTAGAGCCGATAAGTTGAAGTAACCCAAAAGTTCGGGGTTACGATTGTCTATTGTCACGAGGAAAAGTTCCGTGATGGAACGATATTTTGTTCGAGAAAAGGACGTATAGCTTGTCGGTCTGTCAAGAGTTGTTCCGCGAACGACGAGAAAAAGAGGATTGACAGAACGAGGAAGACGAACTCCTTTCGGGTTTATTCGGGATGAAAGAAACAAGCAGACACTCCGTGTTTTGCGGTCCTCGAATAATATAAAAAAAAAAAAAAAGACAGACACGTGTTCCCGAGCGTGAAATCTCGCGAGCGTAGGAAAAATTCTTGCGACCCTCTCGGGTTCCCCCGCCCCATTATTTCGCGTTCTCCGCTCAAGCTCGTCGCGGAGACGGAGGAAACGAACGTTCCTGCACGCGTAATTACTTCGGCATAATGAATCGCATATTATTCGTAATAATTTCTCGGCATTGTCCCTCGTCATTCGTTCTTACTTGCTTCTAATTTCGTATTTTAACGCGTTTTAACTCAACACGATCTTCAACCCTTCAACCCCTGAGCTCTCTGGACAGCTGTCACGATTAGAAGTGCTGCTAATGATAACGGTATCGGTAAATATCGATAATATCGTTAAGAAATCGATAATTTGAATTTAACGTTTAAAGTTTCATTCTGGAAGATACAAAACGTTATGTTATAAGTATATTATACATGCGTATTAATACAATACAATAGATGATAATCTTATGTTTTCATTTTCACAGATATTTGAACTTTGTATTTGAAATCGGTCATTTGATCGGTGGTCGGTATGGTTAGTGTTCAATATATTAACGATATATCAAGTTATCGATAAAATATCGTTAACGTCAATTCTAATTACGTTCTCGTGTCTATATGCTTGTAACATAATATGTACCACAGTATATTCGCATACACGCTTTGATCGTATAAACGTCCGCGTTTTACTCGTCAATGACTCGCTGCTCCGATTCCCGATCATGCTTTCCCCGTGGATACGTGCGGCAGTCGATGATGATCCCCGGTGTGTGGAGTCTCGTTAAAGAGTCAGGGGCTTGAACGAGAGATATCAAGGAGCGGACAAGTGGCGTCGCGTGTGCTAGGCCATAGCCAGCGCACGTGCGTATTGTCGTCGTCGAGGGAAACAACACAGTGTGTACGCGCGTGCATACGTGCGTGAGTCGTGTTGGCACTTGGACACGCGCTTCTTGTCCCTCTTTTGCTCTCCGCGAGCGGCATCGTTAAATACTTGACGGGAAGGGAGGAGTGACCAACTGAAAATATACGTATATACGTATTATCACGTTCTCCACGGATCCTTCGAGATCGACGAAACTCTCCTTAACCCTTTCGTTGAGGCATACTTTTGACGAATAGGTCGCGTATTCGCGAAATACTTTAGTGTTTATGGCACTACGACTATTACTACTACACTGTTTTTTCCCTTTTGTTCATTGTCTAGGACTTACAAGATCGTGACTGATAATCGATAATGATGGATTGGATGGTAAGGTACTAACCCTTAAATTATTGCACTGTTGTGTAAACGCGTCGATAGAAATCGACATCTTACAGGGAGGTTTCATTCTCCATCGTAAGAACCGAGCTCGGTTATATTGATTGATAAAATCGAGAAAAAAAAAACCGAGAAACATAAGGACTGAGGCCAAGACGGGGATGAACCTGGTCAAATTTTTCTAATTCTTCGGGGAGAGAGAGAGAGAGAGAGAGAAAAAACGGCGGAGTAATTGCTGGAGAAACGGGGAAGAGCGATGGGAGGGAGGAAGCGAACGATGGCTGACTGCACGACGGTAGCGAAAAAGGATCTCGCGCGGCTCCGTTGGTGGAGGCAACAAGCAGAAGTAAAAGGAAGAGAAACGGTAGAGGGAAAAGACGATATTGCGAGAAAGAAGGGTGGGAGAGACAGGAAGGGAGATAGAGAGAGAGAGGGTGGGCAGGAGAGGCGAGGGTGGAGGGTAGAAGGCGCGCACAGGGCGCAGCACGAGGGCAGGGCCGAGTGTAACGAAGCTCCGACTTTTTAATTGGAATATATTCAGAAAGCGGAACGCCTTTTCATCGCGGGGCTCGATGCACTGAATACAGCCTGAATCAACGCGGAATCAACCGCGCTTGCAACGAGCCTGCTGTGCACCTGCAAACCGGGCCCGCGTCTCCTCTCTCTATCTCTGCATTTATAACGTAACGGATGCATAGACGACCGCCATAAAATAAACCCGCGAAAAACGCGAGCCCGCCCCTCACCCCTCACTTTTCTTCGTCCCACGACCGATTCGCCCCGTTCCTCACCTCTCCGTTTTCTCTCGTTTTTCTGTTCACGACTCGCCGACGTATAATCCGCGGACGTATAATCACCCTGAAAATACGATAAGTGCGAGTAGACTGGAGAAACCGCCGCGGCGCACAGTCGGCCGGTATCGAGAAATTCAGTGAAATTTTTGTATAATTTTTGAATTGTAGAAGATACTGTTACGATACTTATTGCGATTGAATAATGTAGGGATGTTAAGGGGCTATGCTAGTGTGACGGCTGTATAATAAAAAAATCTAGAAATATCTATTTAATTTCCTAGATATTGAACTCATCAATTCGAAAGTCGAGATTGCACGCAATCCAACGTTGCGTTGCCTTGAGAACAAAGGGATATTGTTACCAGTGAATGCCACGTAGTGGGGATTGCGGGGAAGGCAGCGGTGGCTTTTGGTAAAAGGACTGTGAAATTCACAGTGTGAATGACCGCACGGTAGTTACCCCAGAGCCTCTAAGGAGTGAACCTAGTTCTTGTAGAAAGCAGAGGCCTCGGACTAAATTATCTAACACATATTCGGGGTGAGTCAATAAGAAAGAACTACTATCCCAAATAACTCGAAATTCATATGTAACAAGAGCAACTAAGAAAGTATTTGTAACTGTGAAAATATTCATTTTTCGACCCGTGTTTATTAGGACTGTTCTTCGTTATTTGGCATGTACTATCTACCCCAGTAGTGGTTAAACTCTTGTTTTGTTTTACCCTGTATATACATATGTACTTTATTCGGTGGTAATGTTCATTCTTTTTCTCGTGACTTTGATATTCCGTAATGATCCCCTATAATGATAAGCCCTTTGTCTTCAGCACCATTGCTCGAGAGATCATTTTTAGACATCGAAATGAATTGTGGGCACAGAGATGAGAAAACAGACGTGTTTCGTCTGTTGGTGTCACGTTTTTTTCCCTCGTTGAGCACAAGCGGTTTAAATATCATGGCCGTGCACGTCGTTTTCCGTGGATTTATTCCTCTGGAAAGGGTCTACGCAACACCTCTGCCAGTCGTGGAAAGGTAGAGGCTACGACAGCTTCAGCTTAATGGGCTGTTTGCTTGCAAATTGCGGTATCGCTAAAGGGCAGCAAACAATTCACAACTCGTTTTAACTTCCACGTTTCAATTCCAAGATGCTTCAAGTCCCTCGGGCGAGCGTCATATTTACATAATTGTCTTCCCCCGTTCTCTTTCGCGTTCGCGAAAACTCAACTTCTGCTTTCTCCTTCGGTGTGAGGTTCGTCTCACTTTCGCAACTTACCACCGTCTTCTCTAAAAATACCTGCAATATAGATAGTTTTTTTATTTAATACACCGTTAATTTTCGAACATACCATACGTATTAAAAGAGGATATTATTACCGTGTATCATTTAAGTGGCATTATTACGCTTATTGACAACACAATAAGAGAGAAATATATTTTTTCGATATAAAAAAGAAAAAAGAAATTGCCCCGGGTGAGGATCGAACTCACGACCTTAAGATTATGAGACTTACGCGCTGCCTACTGCGCTACCGAGGCGATATTACGACATTCTCACTTTGTGCATTTTGAAATCGAAATATTTTTAATATTTCATTTACAAAAATATATATATTATTATAAAAATTATACTGTAATCTTTACGACATTCCGATCATCACATGTCGATAATACAAAATCTATATCTTCTTGGTAAATGGGGATTCACAAAATCTTGCTGAAGATGTCGCCACATTGCAGACAACAGCCGAATCTTTATAGACTTCATCCGTTTAGCGTTGGTACTGTAACTCCCAATCGTTAAGTGTAAAACCACGGATATAGCATAAATGTAAACTGTCAAACGCATGCGACGCGCGGATTAATATTTTTTAGGGACACATGACTCGACTCTTGTTGTCCTAATACAAATAACATGACAGACGTAGACAGTTTGAAGGAAGCTATCGTGCAATACGAACAACAGGTATGAACGGTGGATTTTACAAAAAATAACCTTAAGAACGATTACAACTTCGTTTACCCCCGATTCTCACGTTTCAACCGTTTCTCAGCTTGCACAAGTTCAGGCAACCCTCTCTTCGTCGCCCGAGGGAACAGATAGAGACAATTTGTTAAGTTTACAGTCGGACATAGAGGAACTTATTAATTTGACAAAAGAAAGTTTACAAAGCATCGAATCGGGCGACACAGGAAACGAGTCATCGACAGAAATTCTAAGTGACGACGATGATGATGATGATCCACTTGCAAAGGAGTATGCCTTGTTCAAGGTTGATCTTTTTTTTTATCGAAACGTGCAAATTCTGGTCCTTATTTTAAAGCTTAGGCCCTTACCGTTTGTGTTACAACTTCGTTAGGCAGAACTGGAGAAAGTCTCAGATGACTCTGAGAATTGCAGGCTGAACGAACATGCTGCTGGAGCCTCAAACAATATAGAAGTCAGTATGCAAGTATTCTATACGGCATAGCAATGACACAATTATACGGTGCAAGTTCATCTTGTAGGAAGAATTGAAGCAGCTGGAAGGCATGAAATGTAGAGCCCCCTATGGTAGCAGTTGGGGAGGTGTTGGTTATCATAATGCCATGATATGCTCGGTTTCTCGAAGTGACAATACAGAAATAAAAAATATGCAAGACATAAAGGTAAGGGGACCGATGTCTAGAAAGCTACAATTTTATATTTTAGGGTATTAATGTAAATGTATCCTTTGGAAAAGCCCTGAGAAACTTTAATGATTTTTGTTGCCAACATGTTTTCATGTAAATTTGCATGCTCAAGTACAATGTAACTGTTGTTCAGGTCAGAGTACTCTTCTTAAATCCAACACACAAAGAAATGCTCCCATGTCCTTACTATTTGAATGGCAAATGTAAGTTCTCTGATGAGGATTGCAGATTTTCTCATGGTGAATTAGTACCATTATCTAGCATAAGAGAATATAGGTAATTCGATCTCTTAAAATTTAGTATCTGAACCATAGCTATGCAGCAACTAGTACATACGTATATTTACGTACCAATGTATATACATATGTGTACATGTGGTTTTATTGATAGGGAACCTGATTTTCAAACTATAAAAATGGGTAGCAGGGTACTAGCAAAACAAAGAAATGAATTATGGCATAGATGTGTTATACTCAAAATGCCAGATAAAGATGGAGATGTAGCTCGTATTAAATTTGAAGCAAGTGGGAACATTGCTGAAGTTTTTTTGCAAAATATTTTGCCTCTTGGTTAGTACTATGTACCTGAATTTAATGTTTTACATATATTTATTAGTATTTAGATATTAATTACATGATATTAATTGTAATAGACGATGCAGAATTAGAAATGTCAGATACATCTGAAGGCACAGACAGTGAGAGTGATTGCCCGGATTATTCTAAGGAAGAAATAATTCATAAATCTCTCCTGACACTTGATAATAACTCGCCGATAGGAAACTGGGAGAAACATACACGTGGTATAGGTAGTAAGTTAATGGCCCAAATGGGATATGTAGTGGGTACTGGCCTTGGAAAGCATTCTGATGGTCGAATAGAACCAGTCGAGGCAACGGTATTGCCAGCTGGTAAATCTTTAGGTACGCATGTAAATGTTATTTTACAGTTGGCGGTATATTCAGATATACTTCATTATAAACGAGTCCATTTTTAGACCACTGCATGGAGTTACGCGAAAATGCGGGCGGAGATAAAAATCTGTTTACCGTTGAACGTAGAATGCAAAAGCAACAACACAAACTAGAACAACAAAGAGAAAGACAATATCAAAGAGAAAAGCAAAAAGAAGAAAAAAGTGTATTTAATTTTATAAATGCAGCGTTAGGTGATAAACGTATGTTTAAAATCTGTTTTCTATGTTGCACGGTATCCATTTTGTTCGTGTTTCAATAGATGCTTAAATTAATTTGCAGCTAAAACTCAATCCGAAACGGGTACCTCAAAAAGTAAAAGCGATCTTAAGACAGAGTCGAATCGGCAGCTAAATGTAGCTAGCTTACAGGTCGGACAAAATATTTTACGACTTGAGAGAGAATCGTCGAAGTTAAAGGAATCACTAACAAGACATGCAAAGGGTAGCATTCAATATAATAACATTGTAATGAGGTATAATGAAAAGCAAAAAGAACTCGTTGATTTAAGAGCATCGGAAAAAAACATTGCCGGTGAACAGAGCCGACGAAAGAATACAGCTAAATTGTCTATATTTTGATGTCAGTACATTTACAATTTTGTTTCTAACAGCAATTTAACTATATGTCAAGTACCTATAGATATGTACATAAAGAAATATGAAAAATAAATCTTAAAATTGCTACACAAAAGCTGCCTCCTATGATGTAATCATAAATGACACATACACAATTTCTAAAGAGCAGCATAAATTGTATTAAAAAATTTATTGTAGCAACTAATTGTAAGTAGAGGGGGTATATTTGTGTTGGAGACAGTGTTACTAGAGCGAGGGAATTAAGGGGGAAAGTCTGATGGTAGTGGAAAGTTTAATAGTGTGGAGTAGTGTGGTGCTGCTTCACTCGCTAGGGGAGGCAAGTGACGTTAGAGTGGCAGTGGAGATAATGTGACGTCTGTATTCTCTCGTGTAAGAATTCTCCTGCAACGCTGCACGATGGTTACACGACACGCGTTGTTTTCAGTCACTTTACGTACATTACTAAACAGTTTATAGGTAATAGTTACTTGTGCTATTTTTTTGTATTTATCTAAATCTAAATGATTTAGATACTGTTAAATATCATAACATCAGAGACAACTCCGATGAACGCTTGACGGTGATGGCACACTAATTATACTTAAGTTATAAAGGCATATTACAAAATTAACATGGCAACCTCCAGTGACAAGTATGATCATAATAATCATTGCTTCATTTCTCTGTTCTATTGAAATAAATGTGATTTCAATTATTGTCGTAAGTGCAAACTGAAATTAATTACAGGATCAAGGATTGCGAAGTGTGCGGTACAAATAAAGCGAAATACACGTGTCCAAAATGCGAGGTTAGAACTTGTCGTATCGAATGCGTAAACATTCACAAAAAAGAATTAGAATGCGATGGTGTCAGGGATAAAACAAAGTTTGTGCCAATAAAATCATTCACGGACTTAGATATTCTGAGTGGTATGTTATATGTCGTGCCCAGAGAAAGGATTTCTTTTTTATTTTAAATTAACCCATAAACATTCATTATAAAAGCATATGCATTTCCAAAGATTATAAAAAGTGAAATCTGTCAATTTCTAGATTATAGGCTTCTTGAGGAAGTTGGTAGATCAGTTGATAAACTAAAGAAGGATCCATTTAAAAAATGCACAAGACAAAACAATTTACCAATGGTTAGTTATAATTTTCATTTATCTATGTCAACATAAATTATATAAACATTATCATTGTAGCATTTATATAAACTCAGAACAGCTGCATTTGAAAGAAGAGTCAATTTACAATTTATGCCACAACATTTTAGTAGACATAAAAATAACACAATATATTTAAATTGGAAAACTAATGAATTATATTGGAGAATCGAATGGATTTTTCCACAAGCAGAAAATACAATATGGATTACTGACAGGTATATCTGTTTATATAACAAATAACATGTATCTAATTAATCATTATTGTAGGGCTTTAGAAACTATGCGATTGTCAGCTGTCATAGAGGATATTTTGGATCCAATTAAGTCATTAGAAAATAATAATGACATAGAAGAATTGAATTTAAAAATGTGTCTGAAAGATAGATTACAGTTTTATCAAGCAGCTGGTTTATCTGGCATAAAATTTCTTTTAAAGGCAGAAAAAGTAGTGAAGTCAGATTCAAAGTAAGGACATTTCTGTTTTAAGCTATTGAAACAAGTAATTATTATAAATTACACGTTAACACATTGATATCCATCAGGTTTTATGAATTAGATGTTACACTTACGTTAAAAGAAAATTTACAAAACAGGGCTATAATAGAATTTCCAACAATATATGCTGTCTTAAAGGATCACTCAGATGTGTATGAAATTATTGATACTGGTATGTTATTAATTTAGATTATTAAAACGGATATCATTATCTGTTTATTAAATGACATCTTACATAACATTTTAGATGTTGAAGATACAGATGATTTAGAAAGTAAAAGTAATTTCGTAAACGTGCCTAGGAAGAACAAACAAATGCGTAAAGAATTCAATAAAACAGAGAAGAAAAGTTCAACGGTAAATTATTTTTTTAACTCTGAGTCTTCAGAGTCTGAAGATGAAAAAACCAATAGAAAAAGTAAAGTACCAAATATATCAACTTTTACCATACCAAATTATAATGAATTAGTAAAAATGGAACAGTAACATGTTTTTCACCCTATTGAAAAATGTATAGGTATACAAATTCAATGTTTTTATTGTAAATACAATACCTTAACAGACTGATACAATTGCATGACATTAATAATAATACAAAATCAACTGTAACACAATTTCATTGATTCCCTTCCCATGAATGTAAATATATAATTTTTTATAGTTCAGAGAATACTAAAATCACAAGAATAAAATAGTTTAATATATTCCTCCCATCTGTAGATCATTAAAGATTTCATAAATTATGTAACCCCATACAAAAATATATATAATAATAAAACTAATACAGCCTCAAATAGGAATAGGACAGTGATATCGATTTTCACTGTTAGAAAATAAGGTAATAAAAGTTGTTTGAACTTCTATATAATATAAATACGGCTGTATATATTGTCTTTCATTTTTATAAAACTGTTAGTATTGTTTTCTTTAAATTTAATTGAAACAGAGATGGTTGTACATTACTTGTGTAAACAATTATGTACTATATTTATTGCATGGCAATATATCTATGACAGAATATCTTGAAATTGGTTCAATGTCACTGTATTCATTGCGACTAGTTTTTCTCTGAATACAACTTATTTATATTGTTTTCAATCTTGTTTAAGAATTACAACTTAAACATACCATACACTTTTCGGAAAAAAATGCGAGTACTATTGTTGAAAAGAAAACAGAATGGTTAAAAACTTCCATGATCTTTACACAGTGATAACGAATTTATCAAATAATTTAAACTAAAGAACAAAGAAATACAAAAGGAAGACCAGAAATGCAATCAACCCAGCCACAGCTTTCACGTACATTGATTTGCTATTTAAAATAGTTGCATCCTTCTTGTACTTCTGCGACAACATGGACAAATTTTGTGTCTTTGTATCGAGCTCTAGAAAATGAATCTCAATTAAGTACAGCACTTTCATGTGTGAAACAAATATATTTAATTCAACATATGGATTCTATCATTACCTGAAAGAACTGTACCCCTTTGTAAGACATCATCTATGTTTTGGACCATGATTCTTTGTACATCCTGTAGTTGTGTATTCAGAGCATTCATATTTCTTCTAGACCTACCATCCAAAAAAACTTTCTTTGCTTTCTGAATGTAAGTATCTGGAAAAATAATAAATGTGAACGATGCAACACACTGTATGAACAATATTATGTTTAAAGCAATTTTAAAGTACATACTAAATTCAATAAAACTATAAGGCCTTGTTACTGTGTTGACACGTCTACCATATAAAGAATTAAATTCTTGTGCAATATCTTCAAGATAACTGTAAGCCACACGTTTACTGTAATTCCTTTCACATAATACCAAGTAGCATACTTCATTCTCAATCAGGTAGCTGCAAAGTTTAAATAATTAGTAACATGACGTGAAGCAATTAAATATAATTACAATAATGATTATAAAAATAAAACTTACTGGAATAAATACTGGCCCGTTTCTATAGTACATCTAGCTGGAGACTGTGGACCCAACTTTCTAAATAACAGCTTTGCCTGATTTTGGTACTCTAAGATGCTTCTGCCACTCTGGAAGAAATTTACAAAATTTTCGTGATCGTTCAATAAAGTTCCATAATACATAACAACATTTCGGAACCAACAGAAATGTCATTACATTCGATCGTTCATAAGTTAATTGAAAATTAATTATTTTCGAAGGAAGTCAAACTTGATAAAAAAAACTGACGTTTCATCATAACAGATTTCTAACCTGTTCGTCTTCTTGCATAGTCGCCGCCAACGGCAAACCATCTACTATCCTCGCAATCATTGTTAACAACACCATTTTTCCGAAAATTTAGTTATCTTGTCGTAAGAATATTGGGAAATCTATTAGAAAACTCCGTGAAACGGTCGAAACTTCACTACCTGAAATTCATTTACGCGGAACTGGCCACGGTGCGGCCGATTCGTCAAACGTCCACTCTTGGTGTACCACGTCAGTCGGTGTGGAGCAGTGAGTGGTGCCTTCGAACCTCCTAGTGAACATGTAGCAATTCTCTCATATTTTTACATTTCGCAGTCAATTCAGGTTCATATATAAATGTCATTACTACACGTTGTAAATGCCGTAAATATAATAAATATAATATTGCGACAAGATATGTAGAAAGAAAAACTCTGAAACATCGCAGTTGTCTTTACATATTATCACAGGTGGAAATATCCTGTATGTACTAATTGAAGCTCACTAAAATGATTTAAAAATTGTTATATTAATTTTACTAGCATTTTAATTACACGAAATTAAGATGTTAATATGAATCTTAGAAATTTAAAAAAAATTTTGAACAATAACGTAACGCCATCTGACGATACTTTGTAGGATATCCCTTTGACGTTTGTGATCAACACGTCCGCGCTGTGCGCGTCTATGGTTCTGCTCGCGTGGAAAGTGAAGGAGAAAAATTTCGTGACGTGCTTTACCCACACCTTCCTCTCGTGATTCCTGTAAAATGTCTGCGTTTCTCTGATTTTCTTTTTCAACCCCACAAACGATAGATCCAACCGATTAAAAGATCGAATTTTCGCCCAGGCAACAGTTCGAATGTTGTGTGGAAGAAAATAATGCTTGTGCTCGCGTATGGACACCAGTGCCAGATACGATAGCTAGGTGAGTGAACGTACGAAAGGTCCCTGAACGCTAACTTGGCTATCACAGCTGGTCCTATTCTGACTCTTAACGATTCAATTTCTTATTTTATGATTTTATCCTATTCAGCGGCTCTTTATGCACGGAAAAATTGCCTTCTCATGGTTTTTGTTATATAAGTAGATTATTTTTTGGTTTCGTCGCGTGAAAGTCTTAAGAAATTTCGTTCCCGAATCAACTTCTTGCTAGCTACAACGGACTTTCTGATTTGATTATTTCTTTTGTTGACTTCACGACTAATCTCTGTTTGACGTTTTGTATCATCGTGTAGTCGTATATCACATGACGTTTTCGCGGGGAGAATTATTAAAATAATAAAAAATAGGTACCCAGTGACCTATATATGTATACGTATATGTGTGTGTTTGCTATTGCATGTGAAAGCAGTTTTCCCCCTGCTTGAATAATTTACTTGCTATTGAATGCTTATTAAAGGTTAAGTGTTCATGAGAATGCTGATAAGGTGCATTTAATAGTTGCATAAATTTTGACTTATAATTTATTTTGTTTAATGATAAGTATATCAGTCATAAAGTACAATGTACTAATTACTTTCTAACATAATACAGTATGTAAATTAGATTTTGACTTGTAGGTTTCACATAATAGGGAATCAAGTGGTACTGTCTCAAAGACAGTATGAGTGTAAGTAGAAGAAACCTTTTAAAAATGTTTTACATAAAAATATATATTTCAATCACATATCAATTTTTCAAATATACTTTTAGAATCCTTATAGAGCCAGACCAACAAGGTCTAGGGTAGATAACAACTTAGGATATGGAGGTCAGAATCAAACTATATGGAACCCAGTGACAAGAGTGCAATCAGATGTATCATCGAATGATTCCGTGCAACATCAATCATCAGGTGCAAATCAATCGAAACAAACACCTGATCCTTGGAATAATTCATGGAATTGGGATTTTGATAAGCAAGCAGATAATCAACAACAGCAATCATCTCAACAGGATCAGCAGCATTATGTACCACCGTATAAAAATCAAAGACAGCCGATATCTAATTCCATTCAGGATCATTATTATCAAAATGTTAATGGCACTAAATCTGATTTGATTAATCAGAATTCTGTGTCAGATGAGAATACATCTGGAACAGCTAGTAATAGGCAACCAATTTCAAATCATTCGGATTCTGTTCCCCCTTATTTGAATTATGTGCAATACCACCAATATCCACCTCCACCTAGAACGAATTCCGTGAAACCTGGGTCTTTAAATTATGAACACACTCAGTGGACAAACGAGCAACAGTCTCAAAATACTCCGTATACGCAACAAAGACCTACTATGTTAAGTCAGCAGGACCAAGCAACACACCTTCCCTTAGCTAGTAGTAACTACAATTGGCATAAGCCTGATCAGACAAATGTGCTACCACCAAGTAATTGGCAGAGCAATGTGCCAGGTCATTGGCAGGATCCAAAAATGGACAAAGAAGCACAAAGTTTTGATGGTATGGGTAATCAGTGTACACCGCCTTTGCAACAAACTAGATCAAATCACCATCTCCCACCTTCTAATGAAAATACCAACAAAGAACATTCCATAAACAATGTAAACAATTGGCCTAATCAAATGAATGTTCCAGCTAGTCAATGGAATAGTCCAAATTGTGAATCTGTGTTACCCAGTCAAAGTCAACAAACACAAAATTTCAGTGTTAACAATGATTTCAGTTCATGGCCTCAAATGACAAATACAGACGTGTCGCAACAATGGAAGCAGGCAGATGAATTGCATTCTAATCAGTGGATACAAGAGCAACAAGAAAATAATAATTTACCAGATGAAAGTATTGAACAAGATAATGCTGGTGTTACCCCTTTAAATGATTGGCAACAAAACCGTACACTCTCCTCTCATCATTCTTTACCTAACATGCCTCCAACTCCAGAATCTAGTACAGAACAAGAAGAAAGAAAGAAATCTATCCCTTCATTAATTCCAAATTCCATGGTCTCTAAAGATTCCAACATTCATGCAAAAACAAATGTCTCTAAACTACAACTACTTGACTCTCATCTTAATGTGTCTGCTACTCCTGAAACTATACCCACTGTTGCAAGTTCAGAAAGTGTTTCTTTACAAGAGAATAACGAGTTAAATGTAACAGCTGATTTGTTAGAATGGGGAAAGAATAATTCATCGGAGGAATTACCTGCAAAGTTAGAACAGATGAGCCTTGGTTCTAAGCTAAGCCAACATCTAGAAAATCAAACCGAGCCATCGGAGACACTAAATCCTGTTATATCTGGAGATGTATGGAATCAAAGTACAGTTGCTCATGTTGCTACTTCTGATAATATATCAGGGCTATCTTCAGATTATACTGTGCCTAGTACAGAGAACTCCCATTCCACTGATAATCAAGCTATTGTCAATCAAGAACAATCTGCACACAGTACGTATCAGGTGACAAGTGTTAAGCCTATAGATAATGTAGCACAAACTGGATATGATCAATGGTATAATCAGAATACATTACCACGTGCCTCAGAGAACACGTGGTACTCGAAAGACCATTCTAGGCCCGCTAAGGAATGGAGTGTTGAACAAAACGTAGAAAATTATGAGAATATTCAACAGCCTACGGAATTCGTGAATTTGGAAGTAGTTACGCCGTCATTGCAGGAACGCGATTTATACGGCTCGAGGGATTCCATAAATAAGGAAACTCTAGATAACGATCCAAAACCGGTTATTAATCCTGTTAAAGAAGTAGTTAATGCGCGTGATTTTCGGCAAGAAGTGAATAATATCGAAGTACCTTCTGCTCAGCAGGCAACACGATCTCATCCAACACTTCAGCCCGAACAGGTATATATTGTGTATTATGGGAAAGGTGAATGAACTTTCTCTTTTCATATTGTTAACACTAAATGCAGATGGTTTCGCAGGTACCGGATAATTACGAGTTTGCATCAAACGATAGGAATACGTTCTTAGAAACTGGAGAATTGACCGATTCTCATCAAGAGCATGAACCAACACCACCGAGCCAGGACGAGGAAAACGACGAAGTGCCTAACGATATTCCCTTTTTACGCGAAGTACCGGGCCAATCAAGTTCCATAGATCCACGCAGGAATGATCCAACGGGACAGGAACAGTATGTTCAAACTGCTCAAAGACTACCAGATCCAAGAAGAAACGATCCTTCCGGTCAAGAGCAGGGCCTTCAACTACGGAATATGCCTGAGAGATCTGAACGTCGTGACGTCCCTCCTGGTCAGGAGAGAACCGTTTCCGTACTTTCACGATCAGATTCAGATACATTGGAACGTCGAAACGATCCTTCTGGTAGAGAACGATCTTTGCCTCCACAGCAGTCACGAAACGATCCTTCTGGAGAAGAAAGACATCAATCCCAGGCTCAAATCATGTTAGAATCTAGCGAAATACGGGAAGTTCCTGGTAGAGGCAATGAACCAGAAGATCCTAGTCAGCAGACTGACGAAAACCTTAGGCAAATACCGGGCGGTGCATCTCCTAATGAAGCCGCTCAATCTTCGGACGATAGACCCAATGGAAGAGTAGTTACAGGTTCACAAGAACTTCCATCTGCAGGCTGTGAGATAGAGTTTTATACATTTGTTAATTTTAATGCCATATATGTTATTAATGTGATTTCATTATGCGATTTCATATAGCTGCGTTACCAGATCAAGCCAGCGATTCGAGAAGTAAACGCGAGGAAGCTGTTGGTGCATCGATACGCGAGGGTCAAGGAGTTTCTGGTTCACTGAATCGTCGGGATTCGTATGAAGACGAGGACGACGAAGGGTCTGGTAATAGCAGAGACGGTAGCAGAGAGAGACGGCGCGACAGTAGTTCAGAACGGCGGCGATACGAATACGAACGGAAAAATGCCTATTACGATCGTGAACGTGAATACGACGACGATTATTATTACGATCGTCGTCGTGGCGGCGAGAACGACCGATCATACAACGCCCGCGACGAATTCGATCGTCGAGAGATGCCCTACAGAGAAGACGATCGTAAACACCACAGTCGGGATGATTTAGACAGACATATCAGAGAGGAGGTGGAAAGAAGGAGCAGAACTAAAGACGATTTGGATGAAAGGGACGGTCGAAGAAGGGTTGATGATCGTAGAAAGGACAGGCCTGATGACGTACGTCGTAGGGAGAGAGAAGTTCGGGATTACGATCCACGTTATCCTAGAGATCGGGATTATCTTGATCGTGATAGAAGGAGAGAAGACAGACGACCAAGACGATACGACGATTACGATGTCAGAGATCCGTACTACGATGATCCTTATAGTAGAGGGTATATATATTCGTTTATTGCACGGTAAAATGTTTTATGATGATACAATAGCCCAATATTTTGTATGTATATGTTGTTCCAGATCTAGACCGTCCAGTAGGTCTTCTTACAATGATAGGGATCGAGCATACTACTCGCGATCCAGAGATCCTTATTACGGTTATAACGGTACATATACTTTCTTCCTTAATTGAACATTTTTATGGTAAATTCAAATGTTCTGACTAAGTTTGATTTGCAGGTTATCCTGGGTATGATTATGGTAGTCATTATGCCAATAATTACTACGCATACATAGAGAATTTACGACGTACCAATCCTGCTGCTTACTCAGAATGGTATCACAAGTACTATGCTAATCAACAACAGCAACATATTTCTCGCGGTGTTACCAATTATCCAGAAGATAGGGCGAGCGTTCATTCAGGGCGTAGCTCGTGCGATGATAGGTGAGCGTTAGGAAATGTAAAGAATCGATTCAATCTGATTATTCCGATTTTACTTTCCTATAGATTTTATAATATCGATTATGTGTTAGATTTTTTACAAATCCAAGTGCATGCTTCTACTCGCCAAACAAAGCATTGTATGTTCCGTATTTCGGGTATTCTGGATGGGCCAGGAGTCCCCAACGAAGACAGAGTTATCAAAATTTAAATAGGTGAGACCGAGAGAATCCTCTCGGTTTGACACTGCGACAAATGTATTGAAATTGTCGAGTCTGCAGTGTCTTGAAAGTAACTTATTGTTAGCTAAGATATGTCCGTCACGTTGAAAGTATCTTCTCCTAAGCTAGTCGCTTTTAGGTAGTAATATATGGACAATACGTTCACAGTATTTATTATCACTTCTATAGATTTCAGTACGAGTAGTCTTATTATGTTTTCTTCTTTTGTAGATAACGATATATATTGTCATGTAGTAACTTTAGTACTATATTTGACACTTTAGTAAATTTATGAAGGCTTTTTCTGTTGTTACTTTTTCATTGCCATTAACATCTGTTTATATATCAACGATATTTTTCAGAACAACTGGTGATAAACGAACATTAGGCGACATGTCTTTGCTCGAAGATTCGACGAACGCTTCGGCAAGAATGACGCCGACTAAATATTCCATTTCCCATGCATACGGTATAGTATTACATTATTTAACATCCGTTTAAAGTGCACTATACAGTAATTTACAGAAACATAACATTCTCAGGATGTTTTTCAATTGGATCCTTGGTACACGTGCTTCCGTCTTATCCGACTGATGGTGAAAGAGCTAAGGTGGACATACTTAGACTAGACAACCTACTTTTACATGACCCAGTAACGCGCGATTTACGAGCATACCCTGGGCCTTTGATTAAGCAAGTGTAATCAATATATTTCTACATCTAAGCATGCGTATTTTCAATTGCTCGACTAGTTGAATTATTTTAAATTTGCATATTAGACATTTATTTTTTTTTAGTATCCTTCTAGTATGCTTGCTTAGATATGTAATACTATCATATTTATTTTCATTTAAGTTTGTACTTACTTCTACTGCAACGTGTGCTCATTTTGTAGGGGTGTCACTCATAAAAAGACCATTATCGAGTATTGTGAGAATAAAATTAAAAAAGCTGCGTCAAACGACGAGATGACTGATCATGCTTCGTACATACTTTTGTACGAGCTAATGATTATGCTGATTCAACAGAATGGCGTAAGATATATTCCTTTCTAGGTCCGCAACGACAATCTCTTATTTGTTTCTAACTCTACGTGTAATTCCAGAATGTGGTCGGTGTCGACATAGCGGCGTTACTCCTTAGAAACACAGAGGCATACCCATATGACACGAACAAGCAAAAATCGCAGGATCTAGGCAGACGAGAATCAGTAATATCACAGAGATCTGGATTGGGTGGAGATGGATTACAGAGTACTCAAGATGGTGCGGTAGTTTCTGAAAACGTTGAAAGTAAACCACGGAAAAGTATCGAGGAAATAACAGACGAATTTCGAAACACCTTGTTGTACGGTTTAGTTCAAGAAGCGCTGGGTATGTGTTTTGTGCGATTTTTTGTTTTATTCGCAAGAATTTCGGGAATACTTTACCTTCTGTACTTTTGACTGCCACAGAATATGCGATGAACGAGGGACTTTGGGGTCACGCACTTTTTTTGGCTAGCAAATTGGACAAACGTACTCATGCGTCTGTGATGACACGTTTCGCAAATAGTTTACCGTACCACGATCCATTGCAAACTTTATATCAGTTGCATTCTGGTCGCGTGCCTGCTGTTGTCACTAGCATCTCGGATCCTCGATGGGACGACTGGAGACCTCATTTAGCTATGATTATATCGAACACGTCTGCTAATCCTGAAATTAATCGTCGTTCGATCACAACTCTCGGGGACACGCTATCCACGCGGGGAGATATTCATGCCGCTCACTTTTGTTATATCCTCGCACAAATCGATTTCGGTGCCTATGGAGCGAATAACGTGAAACTCGTATTGATCGGCGCAAATCATCATAAACCGTACAACACATTCCTCACAACGGAAGCGATTATGCTTACGGAAATATACGAGTACGCTAGAAACCTCAGCGAGCCAGGATTTACGTTGGTGGATCTGCAAACCTTTAAGTTTGATCTGGCGACGAAAATGGCGGATCACGGATTAATAGAGAAAGCCTTGTTGTACATAGAACAAATAGCGGTAAATATTGTCAATGAACCGTCGAAGTATAAAAAGTCGTTTATCAGTGCAGTGTATAACCTGGGAGACAGGATTAAATATCATGATCCAGTCTACAAGGATTCTACCGAAGAAACTATAACTTTAACTTGGTTCAATAATTTAGCAGAAATTGTTGGTAAATGCTATGTAAGTTTAATCGATTATTAAATCTGAAGTAAGTTGTTTTATTGTAATAGCACTAGGAGGCAAGCGTACAAGTTATTACTTTATTACAGTCAGGAGAAATAGTTGAGAGTGATTCTCACGGATCACAAATGAAAGAGTCGTACAATAGTGTGCAAAATCAAGAAATGTATGAAATGAAGCAACAGCAGCAGCAATCACAACATTGGAATCCGACTCAACCGGACTACAGGGAAGGGCCAACGTCGATGATGGAGGTACCCTCTACCGATGTGCAATCAGAATGGCAACCATTATCTTTACCATCTAATATACCGGATACGTACGATCAAACTGTCCAATATACGAGAAACAACGAGGAATCTTACCAGCAGTTGCAGCAACAAGAGTATTGGAACCAAGACTCTTATTATCATAATAACTATGGAAGGAATGATAGCACTCTTACGAATTGGCAGCAACAAACAACTCATGTCCCATATTCTTCGGAACAAGGTGACATCGACAATTCTCAGCAACAGGAAAAATGGAACAGTGAGGTAAATCAGTCATTGCAATTACAACGATTCGATATACGGTCGTGAATTTTGTATTTATATTCTCCAAATCATTAGGTACATACTTTCATTGAGGATTTTAACGTTGTACATCTTCATTTCTAATTCTAATTGTACACATAACATATTCTAAGTACACTTGGCTTTCTTGTCTTGTTCCTAAAGTGGAATATTTAAGTTCCTGTAGAATCGAATATTTAAATCGTACAGTACACGCGAGAATAACACTGTTTTCACCTCTTTTTTTCGATGCTTGCATATGGACAGACGGAAAAAGAAGAAAAACCACCCACCCCTGAAGTAAGTAATTACGCACTTACTCCGGATAGTAATCGTGATCCTGAATGGTCATTGGATGACACCAATGTTAACTTGTTACGCCGGCGCAGAGTATTAACCGATTCGTTAACTAAATCACGCATCGGTTCTAATTTTTCTGAATCTAACGTCAGTACTTCGACGGACACGTCGTCAACTTCTAATCCGTATCGATCGATCAATTTAGACGAGATGTCTATCAATCCTCATAAACTGATAACATATCCAAAGGTTCTAGCGACCTATCCGAAAATATTGACGGATAACAAAATTCGTCCGAAAGACGTGAAAAGGATTAAGAAGATAGATGGTAGATACGTGAAGCCGCCTTCTTCGCAGCCTCCTGTATTCTTAAAATGTAAAATTAAAAAGAAGTCGGACGATGATAAAGAGACCACTTCGGACGAGATAGAAGAGAATAGTTTAACTTCGTCGACAACTACCGATTTAGATGTTCAGTTTAACGAAGCGAACTTGGAATCCCTTTCTAAGTTTCGTTCGCGTTTAGAAAGCGAAACGCTTGGAAGTTCCAAAACGAAAGGTCAGACTTTGAAGCAATATTGTAACTTCGAGGATAAAAAGGTCATGAGAGTAGCTCCGCATATTCGAAGGAAAGATGTTATCTGCGACACGGTAGACGCATGGTCTTACTCGAATTCATCGCAGAATTCCTCTGAATTGTGTCGGTATAAACCACTTGTCTTCGGTGGAACGTACCCGATAGATTTACCAGTTAGATCCGTTAGAAGTGATCTTAATCAGACCGAACTGAACAATGTTCCTATCGAAACGTCCATCCTTAAAACGTATGATATTGATGTTCCCACGAATTGCGAGTAGATAATTACGTTCGTAGGTGCAAGTAACAATTGTTCACCGTTGCTTTTTTTGTTTTCATACTGAGAACATTACATTATTGTGAACTTATAATTAATTCAGCTTAAAAGATATGGTTATGGACGCTATGCATTTTTAGATAGAGTACATGTGTGGTTATCGCAGAGATCTTTGATACAGAGAGTAATAAAGCGGGGATTAGTGAAGTAGGCTCTTTGTTGTAGACGTCATTTATGTGTATAAGTCTGTTATTGTTATATATACACAATAAAGTTTCTTATATTATTGAATTTCCTTGAATTTTTAAAGATTTGCGCCTCTTTGACATTACATTGCAACGATATCACAGATATAATATTACACATGCGAGCAAAGTTTTTCACTACTTGCTGTAATAGTTATGCGGTTCTAGAGAGTTATGTTGCGTATAGAGAACGTACCGTGTAACCATATAACTGTGCGGATATGCGATATTGCAGTAAGCAGTGATTAACTTTGCTGGAACAATTTTGCGATAATGAATTGTATACTTTATTTCAGCCACAGCAGCCGGCGATTTCAATGACACCGTCGACACGGAAACAGTACGATCCGTTGGAAGAATTGGACGCATTGGAGACACCAAAACAGTCTTCGAGATCCGCAGCATCGAATAAGAAGACTTCAGAAAAACCGACCGAGAAGAAATCCTCGAATAGTGGAGGTTCCTGGTTTGGCGGCCTTTTCAGTAAACTTGCTCCAAAGCCTAAGAACCAGATGATCCTACCGGATGACAATAATCCTACGGTAAGACTGTTGATATATGTATAATACCCATTTTTTTTGCAAAGTATTGAATAATTATGATAGGTGATCACATTTATGTTTTATGTCGCGAAGGGCTCACGCGGCTACTTATGGTAATTGAACGTCTCTGATCTAATGATGGGAGATGAAAAGGCCAGTATACTTCAATGTTCGGACAGTGAATTAACAGCTAACGAATTATTGATATATTCTGGCTTAACATTCTACATTTCGTTTCTAACACTTGGCAGTGCAAGTGTTCGAGCCCTGTAGTCTAGTCGTTTGATACAGGCAGTGTTTTTGAACTTTGATCCGATACTTTGTGTTTTTAAATTGCCACGAGTGAAGAATATTGTCTGTACACGTTGCGTCGTGTTTGATACAGATTGTTTGGGATCCTGTTGCGAAAAAGTGGATGAACAAGGATGAAGATGGGGACACTAGTTCTGCAACGTTAGCTCCTCCTCCGAAAGCTTCTGACATGGGATTCAGAGCACCTGTAATGGAACAGTCCTCTCAACCACCTCAACCACCCTCTCAGACCGATGAATCCGGTGTGAATAAATTTAAATTACCGAAAGTCAGGAGTATGCGTGCGAATTACATAGATGTGATGAATCCAGGCGGCTCAAAAAACAGTACAGGCTCTTCAAGCATACCGACTCCAGTAACGTCTCCAATGGTACCTATGGCAACTTCTTCACCACAATTATTCATTCCTGCACCAGGTAAGTGTTTTCTTTTTTCTTTTATAATTTCTGATATTAATAATATGATAGTAATAATTTATTATAACTAACCCTTGAATGAATCTTTGTAGTCGATGGCCCAAATGCTCCTGTGGCCTTCTTAACACCCACGTCGGCATCAGTTGCACCTTCCGCAAACGTTTCCGAAAATCCATCTCAAGGGGTGAGTCTTTTAATATGAAATGTTACGTTTCGATATTTCATGCGCATTGTCTTGTTACTACAAAACGTATATACAGCATTAACAATACAGTTTCACCACGTATGCGCCTACAGTTTCAAACTCAGTATACACAATCCCTTTATGATCTTTGTGTTATGGCTGCAGTATGCTGGTGTGCAGCTTAGCTGTACTTTCAACTTGTCTCTGGAACTGTAATGTTAAGATGTTACATTCCCACGAGATTTCTTTAGTTTTATCACTATTGTAATGTTAACACGTATATGCCGTAAATTTCCCCTAGTTTTGTGCATTGTCTACTCACTCAACAGCACATCATAAACGCTCTCTCATATTAACTTGGATTTATGTTTGTACAGTTTATTTGTATCAAATTTATACGTTCTTTCGATTGTCTGAATTGTGTAAGAAAGAAGTTACAGGTTCACGTGTAGACCTTGTTTCCAAGTTCAGTCTGATATTAGAAAAGGAAATGCAGGTACTAATGGTTTTGTTTCTATTTATTTGAAAACCGTGTGCTTCCTGTGTAACTTACGCATTTAACCACACTAATTAGATTTTCCAAGATCATAATAGACATTCTTTCTCTTGGCAACCTGTGTTTAATCGACCTTTCTTTTTATGTTTCCTTTGCAAGCAGTCGGGGAGGCAGAATGATGTAGCAAAATAATAATTGTTGCTGATAGTAAGGACAATTTTATTAATTTTACACATTGTTCTCATTATCATGTGTGCATGGTTTGCTATACATATATATCTAGTAGCATGAGTCTGCATTCATTTGGACACGTGAGCAGGTCGATGTTAGTGCTGCAATGTCCATAGAAATGACAAAAGAGCAGAAAGTAGAGTCCACTATTTAGAAAGCTACTTACTAACATATATTTACTTTTTTTTGTATTACATTCATTTTTGCATTCCTTTTAACATCACGTCACAGCTTCACACTGCTTGGGAACTTTGTTTCTGTACTACACAGTCTTCTTTGTAATAGTGTACGATGAACGCTGTCCTAGGTTTACAGTCTAACATACGGTACAGGACACTAAACTAATGCACTAGTATGTTCACATTATATTTTCCAGCATGATTAATTATTATGATCACATTATATTTATTACAGAATATATCGCATTTTTTTTTTGTATGGTAATGTAAGGGACTTGCAATTCCGGTGATTGTAATTAATAGTAAAACGAGATAAATTAAAATAAGCAGAATAATTGTTGTTCGAAATAGTTCGTACGGGTTTACTTCTATGAACACCAGTACTGCATAACTCTTGCATACTTTAATGCATAATCATAGTAATAGGGCGTGTATCGGTTAGTGAGACAAGATTGTTGTGTTGTATATGGCACATAGCTCTCTCGATGGAGCTCAACCAGCTCGTTATCGCGAGAGGTGCAGAGCTACACTATGAGGGATCCGCGTCTCCTCCCAAGGAACAAGGTAATCCAGTGGCACTAGACTTTGCTCATTCCAGAGGTGATCAGTTATTGGTTCTACTGAATGATACATGGTAGAAAACTCTAGTTTATTTATTATACTACTACATATATCATACTTGAATTAAGGAGTATGATTTAATTGGCATATTCATGTATGAATAGTAGCTTCCAAAATACAAAGAATAATACATGGATGATTTCTTGATCCTCTCCTTGAATCAAACTCTGCCACTTGAAGAATACTCTCATGAATTCATAAAATAAAACGTTTAATTCATAGTTACATGTAGCTTCGCCGCTAAATCAAGCTTATACTCATTATGTCAAGCACATTAATCTTATCAAATTTAAATGGCAAAACTATGGGAAAGCTTGGTGAAGGATATATTTTTGGTTTTGGCCTGCAGTGTATATTTATATATGTTACTTATAATGGATACATTTTACGCTCTTTGTTGCGGTTTAGTCGTTAAAGTTGCCGGATGTTTATATTAATTTTTCTTGAAACTATTACTATTCTTAACCTTGATATAACTTAATTTCATTTTACGTCAGATTGTATAAAATGGGTATAACAAGTCGAAATATTTTCGTAATCAATTAGAATCTGCGGTGGTATCGCTGATTTATTTCTAACGTAAATGATCATTTTTAGGCACCAATGATGTACAACCCGAGTGATATGAAGGATCATTCAGCGAAGAACATGCAACCGAGTCGGTATCCTCCACGATAGAATACGGAAGGGGTTTCACGACTAGCTTGTTGATCAGAGGAGACGATTTTTTGTTACCCTGGAATCATGTGACTTGCACGAATCAGCGGTTTGTAAAGCTCACGCGGGCAAAGATACTTCGGAATAAGTATGAAAGCAATGGTAGACACGCTATTCGTTTCTTTAGTTGAGTGTACACAAAATTTTCAGTTACGATTTTATTTGGATTTACTTTTGTTTAGCCTAGAGCGAATGCAATAGTTTACAATTTTAAGTGAACTATTGCTTACAAAATAATACAATGGGTCTCGGAAATACTGCAGTATCATAAAGGACATCCTTTCACTACACCAAAACAATTATCCGCTTGTATTATTTAGATGTACTTTACATTTCTCGTTTAATTGAACTTCATTAACAATACACAGGGTACCGTTTTATATGTTCAGTTTTTTCACGGACTGTGTTCGCGGACTCGACTAGAAATGTTTTGAAAAAATCCTGGATATTGTTATTACACTGCAGCCCGTACGATTTAACCTATTCGTGGAATGTTGTAGTGAGTGGATTGATTCAGATTACTAAACCGTTTTGGTAGAGTTTTTGAATTTCATACCGTTCTGTCGCATCCCGTAAAGCGCCCAGAATTGCAATAGCCAAGAGACATGGGAAAGAACATGCGTTACACCGAATGATCGCGATTGAGAAAAGCGTTAATTATAACAGATATAATGTCGATCCTATCGTTTAAATCACGAGATTGTGTTGCACATCCCAAGTACACGATACGATATCAAGTCTGATTTTATACGCTGGTGAAGAACAATTATTGCATATAAAATGAAACGAATATCGGTAATGTAAGGAATGTTAGGTATATAAAAATTTTATGGATCCCATTGTTAGGTGACGTGTAATGCAGGTACTGTTATTAACTATCAGGCTATTGTATCATTATACCAAGGTTGTACCAATAAGAAGCGTAACTGCCATCTATCCATTTGAATTCGGAAAATTGGTGAAATGCTTAATTGTCCTATATCTTTCTGTTTGAATTACGATATGAGCACAGTTTCGAATCTTTGCCTCTGAATGTAGAGTCTTTTCCTAGCGTTCGAACTAGAGAACCACGGCGAAACAGAGTTCTGTACTAACGAATTTTCTTTTTTAACTTTATTTATATCAGTCGAAAGGTGTACAGTTCGCTTGATCTCGGATTCGAGGATATTGGTGCTGTCGTAGCATGCGAATTTTGAATTAGCAATCCATCAAGTATGCCATAATTGCGCTTAATCTGCCTTCGTATGGGTGTATTATAATCGTTCCGAAAGTTCGTGCTCTTTCCGATCATTGCTTTCGGTTATATATATTTCATACTATATATTTTAGCTAACTTTTAGCAAAGGAAAAAACAAATACTTCGTTTTGTTACATTACAAGCCAATTCGCATGGCAAACTTGGAAACTGGACGAAGGAAGGAAAACATTTATGATGCGATGTACAAACACGTAGGGTAAGCCTTAGATCGGTTTCTTCTGTGACGTCCAGAGTTTTGTGATAGAATAATGATCGAGAGCGAAAGAACGCGGTTTTAAAAATCAGCTCGAGCGAGCGTACCGAAGAGTATATTCACGTATCCGTCGATTAACAAAAAACGAAGACTTTTTTTTATTCCGTTTATGTTGGTGATTTCCATGAAGCGGGAAGTTATATGAACGCTCGGGAGGAAGGGAGATATTTAACAATTCCATTTATATTTAGATAAAATTACATTTCTTTTCTCCGCCATTGATCACAATTGGAGTGAAGCTGGTTTTGTCAATTCTTGTAAAATACGTACTAGACTATTCAGTTTTATACATGTGACAGATAAATATTCTTTCAAGGCATATACCTATATTACACATAAATTGTAGCATATTATAATGTGAACGCGTTTCTTCGTGTACGTTAACTGTATATACGTATAGATAGATATATAATTGAAATTTATGATTTGTACATATATATAAACGTAAGTCTCTTCCGGAAATTTAACAAATTCGCATGTTGATTATCCTTTCCAATCAGCATGCGGTTAAAGAGAAACACCGACGACATACTTTTCTGAAGTACAGCATCAAAATCAGAATAATTCTTTTTGTGAAAAATGGCATTTCATTATGAATAAGACGTCTCGGTTATGTTGCTATCGCCAGAGTTGTTTTTCCCCATTCGAATTTACTGATGATTCGTTTCAAATGGAATGCCTCAGGCGTATTTCTCTTTCCACTATAAACAATGAAACTTGTAGAACGAGGCTGGCATTTTGGGCAGTGCCTAAAATTCATTTCGTCGCTCTACGCGAGCAACATTTCCTTAAAAAAAGAACTTTGTATATGTATGTGTAAGTAGGTAGCGATCATCTAATCGACACCGATTAAATGGCTTTTTTATTTCGGTATACGATTCAAGTGAATTGATCTGCTCGAAAGTTTCCGAAGTGATATTATACTTACAGTGAACTAGCAAACGGTGGGAGAGGATTTTATGATTACACGTTAAAGTTGGACAGAAGTATTAATTGAGCTATATGTTATGTATGTATATGATGGTTTATGAGTGATGCGTTTCGGGCTTGATGTAACATATTAAGATATAACTTTAATGCACTTGGCGGTTCAGATGTTCGATGTATGTTTACGGGAAAAATATGGATAATGAGAAATGTATACTGCATATTATTAACATTACCACCATCTCATTATTATTGCTATTATGAATAAAGAATAATACAACCTACGTGGTCTGAAGTGTTGTAATTTTTCAGAATGAGAGACTATTAGTTTAGAGTATATAGACGCTCGATAATTTCCTGTTCGTTAATTGATTTGCGCGTTAATTTTGAATATTGAAGTTTGTTAATAATTTATTGATTATTTCAGATGTTCAGTTTTGATGTTTAATTTATCGATTCTAAGTTTCGTAAATAATGTTATTAATAAATTTATCGTTGAGTTCAGCCGTGTGTACTTTTATTTATAAATCGTTGAAATTCTAATTGTACATTATACATCTCACACACACGGGGTCTCTTCACATGTTTCGGGGGCTCCGTGACCCCACATTCTCGGCCCACGTGATCAAAGGCGCCTCCACCGGGGCTCCGTGACCCCACGCACTCACCCCACGTGATCAATGGCGCCTCCACCGGGGCTCCGTGACCCCACGCTCTCACCGTGCAGGGTCTATGGCGCCTCCACCGGGGGCTCCGTGACCTCACGTTCTCACTAGAGATGATGTGAACTGCTACTTGTGAATCACTCGTGATTCGATCACGTTCGTTCTCAATCACGGTAATTTTTCACAGTGATTCGTGATTTCTCGTGATCGTTTCTGATTGGTGGAGAAACCTAACAGTTCTTTACACGCGACAAATAATCTGTATATTTTATATTTTATATTAACGACATCAAAACAAAAATTCGAGTTATATCGTATAAAGTGAAAGAATAATTAGAAACAATGAAGAATAATGAATGAATTAATGATTATAAATTATAATCTACATGTTACCTAGCAAATCATTCTTTTAGAATTTCTTGTTTTTTCTACTGATTTTTACAAACACGTTTAAAGATTAATGACTTACGATTGCAGTGAGCAAATTCACTGAAGATAAAAAAATCGCAATCACGGTCGTGAATGAAGTTAAAGCATACTTGTAAACGCATACGTATGGTTTGACTGTTTTTTATTGAAAAATCGTAAGAAAATATACAATTTACAATGGTATTTGTATAAATTTAATAACAGTTGCTTTAAATACTACTTATACATAATACTACGTAATACAAAGTCACCATTTTAGCGTGGCCGACACAAGATCAGGTCGTTAACGAAACACAACGATTTGAAGCAGCTACTCGCTCAACGATTCCATCGATTCAAGTCCTGGGATGACGCAGCAAAGAGTATCGCCGAACTTAAAGAACGAGCCTTGCCCCTAACCCAGACAGAAAGGATGAATCTTCCTCTGAGTCAGCTTCCCTTCTGTAACCGCCGGGTGAGAACAACTTTGGCGACGTATCATAAAGAAGGTGGGGACTTATTCGAGCTTTGTGTCTCGTTTTTGCGCGTTTCATTCACACGCTCTTGCCGGAAATGGTCAGTCCCGTGATATAAATTTTCTTTACCGTACAAAATCGACATTTCCAAGCGAAATTCAAACAGAGCAATCCGGTTCAATAGCGAAACCATTAGTTCTCTTGAACGGTAACGTTGGTCGACGAACTCTTCCGTGGATAAGGACGTGGATCAATTGAAATGCACCCCTCGTTTTGCGTGTCCAGTTCTTAGCGTTTCGAGGGTGAAAATCTGTATTCCACCGCCGCAGGCCTCGCCCTCGCCACGTGGTTCGACGTTTCCATTTACCTTACGTTCGGACGATCTTCGAAGCGTCGATATAAAACCTCGTCGATCAGTTATAGGGTAATTATTACTTCGTACAGCTATCAATTATCGAATGAAACGTTCAAATAAAATAATTTCGTTCTGGCCGACGGGAAAATTCATTTTCGCGAAAAGCAAGCAAGTAATCCGCGTACTCGATTTTCGAGGAACGAGATCGCGTCGTTGTTCAGCCGTACCGTACGCACACGACGTGGATGCTCGATTGGTAAATAAGTATCGCGTGGTTGAACCGTGGAGATTTTCGGTACGGTGAAACGGATCGATACGAGCAACGTCGTCGATCGATCGTTTCAACGGAAACATTAACGCGTCGAGAAGTCGTGGAAAGGAAATAATTGGAAGCGGCGCGTGGCGAAAGGACTCGTGCGCCTCGTGTGCTCCGATGGGGTCGCGCCTATTCCCTTATTCCCCTATTCCCCTGTCGACCAGCAACCGTATACCTATACGTAGGGATTCTCCCTTGTTTCGAAGCGCGCGTACGGCACGGGGGTGCGCACGCGCTGAAAATTCTCTGATAACGGCGGGCGTCTCGACGTCCTCAGTCCTGGCTGAAACGCCGTAACGTCGCGACGCGTAGGTCGTAACGTCGATCTCTGGAACGACGGTCTGCTGTTGTTGTTATTCCTGCTATCCTCCTTCGAGCGTCCAGTCAGCGGTGAACTTTTTAAACAACGAACCGATTGGTTTCGACAGGATGAAATGCCTATTCGCAGCTGACGCGACACCAGCGATGACGAGATCCTCAGGATCGCCGTCCTCGCCGCGTTCACCGGCACCGAACACTCGTTCGTTAACAGAGTATAAGTCGATCCACGCGACACACGAATAATTGCGACGCAAACGTTCGAGGAACAGGCTCTGGAACGTGGTCGTTTAGCGCGGTACAATTCGAAAACCGATTCGAAATGCGCAGGCTGGTCACGCGGACGAAACTCGGTTCCCGTACGATTGTCGTTTCGGTTTAATTTCTAAACACGGCGACGCAACGATCGTCGCGCGCTGTTTCAATCGAAAGCGATCGACCCACGCGGGACTCGTAGGAGAATCTGAAATTGGTGATCCTGGAGGGACGCGGATGATGCGGACGAACCGAACGGAGTGATCATTAGCGATCGTTTCGTGCGCGCAACATTGGGTTAAATCAATCCAGAACCATGGTGCCTATTTTGCTGTTGCTGCTGCTTCCTCTGCGGACACCTGCCTCCGGTGAGTCGATATTCGCGTTTTGTCGTCGTGTTATTTTTATCATCGACCAGATGGATGTGTACATGTAATTCGCGGTCACAGCTGGCATTCAATCGTGGATTCGACGTGTTCCGAAAGCACGGGCAACGTTACCGATCTGCTTGGTTGCGCAAAGTCCACGACACTCGATTCCGTGGAGCGAATTAATGCGGCGTGTGGCATTGTATGGTAAAATTTGCGTGTCCGACCAACGCATTTCGATATCGGCCAGAGTGATCGTCGTCGCGTTAATAGTTCATCGTGCGTCGCGTTCGAAATTGCGCGCGACAATTTCTTGTTCGGTTCGACGATCGTCACTGTTCTGTCGGATGATCCGTTCGAAACAGGATATTTTCTTTGCCCAATGTTTCATCCCGTACGTTTTCTCGGGGTCAAATTCGGCAGGCCCGCGCGCCACCACGTGAAGGTTGAACCGATGACATTCGCACTTGACCGTAATCACGGGATCGCGATATCACGACGTCGCGATGTCGCGTGCAACAAAAGTCTCGCGTGATTCCGATGCAGGGGAAAATCGATACTGCCCTTTGGTCGAGTTCGCCCGTTCACTTGTACCTTCTCCGTGCCCTTTCCCTTTTTCTTTACGCACGAAAAAAAAACGAAGTGGAAACTCGTGTATCGCGACCTGTCGATCGACTCTTATCGAAACACTCGCGTAAGATCGAAGGATTCGCATGTTTCGCGATATTCGAAAAGTTAACTGAACGGTGAATTTGTTAACGCGCCCTTACGTTTCTTTTCGCTCGGGGTCGATTAATTACGCGACTTTCAACGCGCGCGCGCGCGCGCGCGTTTCTCGCGGAACACGCAAAGCGTAAGTTAATGAAGAAAAACACGCGACCTTTCGAAAATTGAACGCCGCGAATCACTCGGTTGGTTTTTGAGGAAACGATTCGAACAGGGAAGACGAATACGCACGTAAGTTCCCATTCGATGGGAAGGTTACTGTAAATCTGGAGGAAGAAAAAGCGTCCAGGTGGACAGGCCAAGAACGACGATTTCGAACCGTTCTTCACTTGGCACGTTTCCTCGATGGTACCGATTGTTCGCAGCAAATCTGCCGGTTTTCTGTATTTGTTACTCTCAGAAGAACTGTTTCCATTCACGCGCAAATTCTTCAGCAGAAAGAAACAAGCATGCACAGGTGAACCGGCCAAGAACGACCATTTCGAACAGTTTCTCACTTTGGACGTTTCCTCGATGGTGCCGATTTTTCGCAGCAAATCTGCTGGTTTTCTGTACTTTTTACTCTCGGAGGAACTGTTTTCCATTCACGTGCAAATTCTTCAGCAGAAGGAAACAGTCGGCTCGACCGACGCGTTACACGATAGCAACGGACGTGGATAGCGGCGAACACGACACGCTCGAAACACGAGTTCACCGTGCTACCGGTCGATAAAACGAACGAACGATACCGTCGCGCGTGGCCAGATCGACGCTCGCTCGGTTCGGGCCCGCATACGACACCGTCGTCGTCGTCTCGAATAATTAGGCGTCGAGTCTCGTATCCAGTCTCGAACACCGTTACATCTTCGAACGAGAATTACCGATCGAACACATATCTGGACTCCAGAGCGTGTTAAGTCCACTTTAACACCTTACTCTACGATTTTTTAAAGACTGTACACTTTCAAGCATTACTTTAACATTAATAATTTCCTAGATACAAAAGGAATATTGTCTTTAGGGCAAGTGTAACATTTACTCTAAATCTTAAATATTAATATCAATGAAACAGAATGTCACTTCGACTCAAAGAAAATGAATAGTGTACATGTTTATTAAATCCACTTTGAAATCGTCAATCACGTGTTTGACTCGATGTTATAATGACATTTTACATGATTCCTGTATCAAATATTTCACTCTTTCCGGTGGTAAAAATTATTTGGTTCTAAGTCGTTTAGTTTTGTAATATAGGCACGTAATAGTCTAAAAATAATATTGAGTTCACATTTTTAAAACAGTGAAAAGGTCATCACGTAGGGGAATTAATGCAAAGTTCACGAATTCTACGTATAGAAACTTGTCTTAAATCTATTCAATAATTCGAAGGTAGCGATCGTTTCTTGCTCAACTCTTACCGAACGGTTCCAAGGTTTTCGCACCTTTGATTTGCTCTCCTCCAATGTGTGACTTGATACACTCTGGTTTTGGAGTCGAGATATAGGAAGCAGAACTGCGCCCAAGCGTTTCCGCGTAAGATCGTTACCGTTATCGTCGAAAGGACGAGGCACGGGCAAGACCGTCGGGAGAGACGAGTCGCAAAGTCGAATGTTGCGTGCAACCCCGAAATCGTTAATCGAGACCGCCCTTAAAAGCGAACCCTCGGTCTCGTTGCAACCGTATCGGCGATTCCTAGTCGAAGAGAGAAACGTCAGAGGGTGGAGAACAGGGGAAAAGGATCGTGCACGAACCTACGAACGCACACCGTTCCAACGAGCTGACCACAGCCACGATATCGATTCTTACTTACCTTACCGATTAACGCACGTTAGACCATTCCTCGAGAGCGGGAGCGAGGACAGTTCGGGGCACGGAATCACGAGGAAACTGACCGGTCGTTTTCTCAATGCTTTCCGAATTGTTCTTTCGTCGAACACGTGTTTTCGATTCGTTCGAAACACCTTTCGAAACGAAAAACCAGTTCCACGAATCGAGTCCGATGTTTCTCGATAGGTTTCGAGTAGTTTATCGTCGGGCCAAAGAACAGAGAGATCGTCGGTGAACCGTGAGCCTGAACATCGCGATACATGGGTATTGAGCGTAAATACATAAGTATCCTGGTGCTTTTGCGATTGGAGTTTTTAAGGCTAGCGATTCTGTCCCGCGCGACTATTGCCGTCTAGTCGATCCTCCTCGCGTCCCTTTATTTACTCGCTGTACAATACCAACCATTCTTGTCTTGCTTATCGGGAATTTGATGGTTCTCGATATATCGGAATGACACGGCCTTTCATCGTTTCCCTTTTTATCCGACGATCCCTTCGAAAGACGTCGCAACAGAATTGAATCAAATCGCGAAACAACTGAAAGAGTAGTGTAACTTTAGGGGTGTCCCGTCTCAGCGGTCCCCTAATTCGTCGTAACGATGTAATTTAATCGAAAGTTTACCGGGAACAGCCTCGAACGAGCAAACGCGTAGGTAAACCAACGCACCAACGAAGTCGATCCCAAGGGGCTTTCACGGTTTTGCCACACCTCGTAACCCAAATACTAAAACTATCAGCAACCTTCCCGTTGTCGTGCGTTCTTTTTATTCTTCGAAAGGAACTCGCGAACGACCCCGGTATAACACACACGAACGAACGATCGATCGGTGGGTCAGCTCGATCTGTTCGTATCCTCAGGAAACTTTCCTTCTCGTTTCGCTCTGTCCACTCGACTCTGCGAGATAAAATCGAAACGCCTAGTCTTCCGTTCGTCCTTCCCGCGCGTCCTCACGCATTTTCCGTTCTCAGACGCCTAATTTGAAAGTCTAAACGGGGAGTCTCGCGGCCAGAGGATGGTTAGACCGTCGAGGAATCGTTTGTGGTCTTTTCATTCTGAAGGAGAAGAATTACGCGTATGCTAATATCGAGAGCCTCTTAAAGTCGACTTTAATCGAGTATTATACGAATCGAACAGACTGCGCGAAGCACGCCTGTGTCCCTCGCGTGCTGCATCTCAAACATTCCAACTTTTCAAGAACAGCGGTACGAGATAGGTTTACCGTTCGTGACAAAAAGCAATACTTATACAATGTGTGTACGTATCGTGGTCGACCGTTGGCCGTGGAATTCGCGCGATACGCCACACGAATCGTTCGGCAACCCCATTGGCTACTCGGAAATAAAACGAAACTTTGGATCGTGACCGATTGGTTAAATCGAATTTCGGGTAGATGACACTCGAGAGGAAAGAAATAATAAACGATCCGAACGCGAAACTTTGATGCAGTTAAGTTTAATTGTAAGTTAAGATTACTTTAAAAAACCCAATTTCCATGACGACGGCCCAGCCTGACGCGCAGTCTATGTTTCTATGCGCTATGGGAAGAAACGACGCAACGAAAAAGGAGATAGAGCAACCGTCGTACGTAGTTTGTCATCCGGTGTATCGTTTGCGCGTTGCATCCGCAACGTTATAACGCGAAACGTAACGTACACCGAGTAAACAGTTCATCGTCCGACACACGGTCTCGGCCCTTGTCAACATCGCTTAGAGCGTATAACCAGAATCGACCATCGCGTACGAGTCCCACCGGTGTGAACGCAACTGCGTAAACGTGTCTCCCGATGTCATTTACTTTTTAACGATCGTTGCCACGAGTAGAAACAACCCGTTTTGCGACTTTCAAATACTTATTCAAATATTGCGAGGATTAAGCGGAACGAATCACTCTACCGATCGATTCGTCGATGAATTTTTCGTTGCTGGAACGATACCGAATAAGTTCGATCATTTGGTCGGAACGTGTGAATTTACCGACGCGAATCGAACGAGCGGTTAGAGGGTAGTCGGTCCTTAAAAAGTGGGCCATGTTTACCGTAACTCTGATTAAACGCTCGGCACCTTATTGCCGGTAAAACTGGCCCGATGTGTTTGCCCCCTCCTCCCCCAACTCCCCCGGAGGTAAACTCGTCCGAGCGCCAAGAATGGAGCGTAAAGGGGCGAATTAAAGTTCGATCGTGTCCCAATAGACACGTATATTTCGTTTCACGAAAGAGTTACAGAAGACGCTCCGAGCATCGTTCGACCACGTAAGGCGATTAGCCAGACGAATCCAGAGGGGAATAATAAATTTTCTTTTCCTTGGATAGAACGAGTAACGGGTGTTCGAGTAACACCGACGACGGACGGTTTTAAGCGTACCCATCCTAGAAGTCAATAAAAATCAACCATGGTTTTAAGAAGGTCGTAAGTTGTTTCTTGGAGCGTTCAACAGTTGGTCGGATCTTTCCACGGGGTGTCGAAGTAATCTAAATATAGTTAAGCTATTTCCGAATTCGTTGAGTCGGGAAGCGTGCCGCCCTCGGGTCGTAGCGGAAAAGGGAGGAAAACGAGAAAACCGGGAGACAATTTAAGGAACGAAGCATAACGAAACGAACCGGCGTGAAAAGGGGAAACTCGCGCCGCGCCGTTATTTGTCGATGGCACACGCGCGCAGGTGTTCTTTCCGTGTGGCTCCCCAGTCCTCCGTAAGTACAGTGAGGCCCGTCGTGGTCGGGGTCCGTCTTTAGTCTCCGGTTGTTGACACAACCGTCGAGTCTGATCGCGGCCAACAATTTTCCAGCATCGAATCGAGAAAAAAAAAAAAAAAAAGAGGAAACAGCGATGGAAGGAACGGTCGAGGGACGAATCAATTTACACCGTTGGTAGAACGATCGTGGGAGTTAGGGTGCACCCCTCCCCCCCCCCGGTTTGTTTGCGTCTGCTTGTGTCTGCCCTGGGCCGACCCTGTTCCACGTGACCCCAACGCGGAAGGTCCTTGCCGATCGGCGACCGAGAGGGTTGTGCAGAGTTGTATGGCTGCGCGTATCGTATTCACGGTCTCTGTTTTCGGGAATTGTAACTCGACGTACGAATAGGGTTTCCAGGTACAACGATCTCGTGCCTGCGGACTTGACGCTAGTTCTATCTGTCGAGCGTTTTTCTACGCGTTTCGGCGCCGGTTCGATCAGTCGTGAACGATTCAGTAACGATACAGGTCATTGGAACCGAGTCGTGACCCGAATTGGAGATATACAAGGGTGTCCCAAAATAGGTGGAAGTTCTAGAGAGGGTTGTAGATCCTGGGGTGATTCGAAACAATTTTTTCCTTAGCGGAAAAGTTCTACGAGGCTTTGTTAACGAGATATTAAGGAAAAAGCACCGACCAATCAGAGCGCGAGTTTGCCGGCTGAACTCCCGCGGTAGTGCGTAGCCAATGTTACCGCAGGAGCTCGGCCTGGCGCTCTGATTGGTCGGGGTTTTTCGTTGATATCTCGTTAACAAAGCCTCGGGGAAGTTTTTAGATGAGGAAAATATTACTTAAAATGACCCCAGGAATCGTCCCTTTGAAGAACTTACAACTATTTTGGGACACCCTGTATAGATGCGTATTTCGGAAAGGTTGGATTATTTGACACATTTTCTCACAATATTCTTTCTTTGTTTACGTCTGTTTTGTTTTACGTTATTCTAGCATCTGTTTTTCAGGAAACATTCTGTTCCTTTCCTCTTTCTCCGCGTTCCTCGATCTTTTTTTTATAACAAATGCAATCTTTTCCACTGCGCTCAGTGAAATTCATTGACAATATCGAATGTTAAAATAATATCGACTGTCGACACGTACGTGTTTTCTGTATTTAACTGTAGGTTCGCGTGACCGATGTCCCGTGGTTGCACGCCCCCTCGTTCACCCTCGCCATCGTTCTCGCCCACGCGTTCGTCGCTCGAGAGAGATCCACCACCGAAATATCCTCGGTTTCTGGCCCCTTTTACGAAATACGCTCTTTCGTTGGTAAACTCACAAACGGTCGAATCGTTTACACTTTGTTCTCTACTTTCCACGTTTTCGTCTCGCGAACAACACCGCTGTACTCGATCGTAAACAACCGGTGATTCCGAGCACACTTCGCGATTCGGCGAAGCAACGTTCGTGAACCAGAGCGAAAGCGCGACTTAAAACTGGGACACGTGCGCGAGATCGTCGGACAAAACATAACACTGGCTTTTGTATATCGATTAAACGAGCACCTTGACACAGGTTGTATTCCACGAAACTGACCGTACCTGAAGCTTCACCGTTGAACTTTACCTCGACGCAACACGTCAGAGATTGGGGGAAAACGTTCATTTTCGTAATCCGAACGAATTCGTTCCTGGCCATGAAGAAGCTTTGGACCAGTTCTGCGAATTAAACGAGTAACCTCGTAAACTGCGATTCATCGGACGTGAAATACGTGACTCGCGAGAGGAAGAGCTTTTCTTCTTATCTAATGGAAAAATGGTTCGCGGAGGCGGCGAAACGGTTACTGGCGTGGCCTCGCGAAAACTTTCCGCCCTGTCTTTGGTCTTGATCGGTGCCCTCGGTTCGAGTTGTTGGAAAGAAAAAAAGAAGAAGGTTCTAAAAGTTTCTCCTCGAATATTTAGTACGCGATGAATTGTCGCGATAAAATTTGCGACGGCGCGAATGTTTCGTGTTTCACTTTTGCTGTTCCACTCGTTTGGTCGTTGCCATTTCAGCGACACGCCGACATAGGAAGACACGTCGCGGAAAATTACCCCCGAAACCACGCAGCGCATGTGTTTGTTTCAGAATTATACTTCTCGCAGTCCGATCTGACTGTCAGGATTCCGTACAATCAGCGGAATCATGGAACCTCGTCGTGGAACCTGAAGCTGCTCGAACTTCGAACACTTCGAAATAACAGAACGGAACCGAAGAACGTCGAATACAGCGTCACTGTGCCTCGCGACGATACCGTTTCGATAGATTCCGAAACGAACAGTCTTCTGCTGCTGCGTCGACCGCCGAAGAGAGGTAAGGCAGCATTCTTCGAGCAACGACTTCGCACGAACTGTGATGCACGGTGATGCCCTGGTCGGGGGTCTGCTTTCTAAGGTAGAAAGGCAAGCCTGTTTCGTCGTTTGCCGCGGCCCTAAAGCAGGGATCGGCAAACTTTTTTTTGTAAAGGCCCAAATAGTAAATATTTTCGCCACTACGAGCGTTATAGCGCGTATTTTGAAATTGTAAAATCTATTCTTAGCTCGCCGGCCGTACAATAAGTGTGACAGAGACAGAGCGAGAACCGATACTCGTTCTGTCTCTGTCACACGTATGTACAGTGATTCCTCGATGAATGCGACACGAGCAATTGCGCTATTCCCACCACTGGGGGAGTCCAATCAATCAAAGCAGAGTAAACATAAGCTAAGCAGAAGCTCGGCTTCGGATAAAAAAACAAATTTATGAGGGACTGAAAACATTTCGTTGTCACGAATGCTCTGAAGTGGACCAGAGTACGTCGCACTCATCGAGACATATACATAAACGACGAAGCAGGCGGCTTGCCTTTAAACCCTAGTAAGGAGAGAATTATTCTGTACCGTTTCTGTGGTTGCGCAGTCGAATCTGGATATTACACGATCGTGGTCCTGGCGAAGGAGAACCCGGCCGGCAACGAAGCCGTGTTGGAGGTCAAAGTTCATCCTATCCTCGTCGACGAGCGAATCAATTGCACCGACTACGTTCAGGTAACCATCGACGCCTTCTGTTTTACGTCTGACGTCAAAACAGACACTTGGAAACAGGGACTTAAACCGGTATTATGCAATTAACTGAAGAAAACTGAAATAAATACCGGTACTTTTCCGGTTTCTATAAGGGTAGGGCTTATATAGGGCGAATGTACAACCGATAATACCGGTATTTTACGTGTTGGTAGAAGTCCCTGTTGGAAAATCGCAGACCGATGAGATCGACCACGATTCATTTTTACGTAACTTCGTTCCTGTTGCAGGACATGTGCTTCTGGAACGCGTCGAGGTACAAAATTTACGAGAATCAACCGAGCACGATGATCGGTACCTTCGGACCCGACGTTTACAGCGACGTTTGTCCCAGCTTTCGCGTCACCGGCTACAAGCTGCTAAACGGCAAGTGCGAAACATCCGTTTGTTTTTTTTTCTTCTTTAGTGGTTCACCCTGTATAACTACATACATACACTGTATATGAATTTTGGTTCGCCCGACACTCGGCCAATTAAACGGCTCGAGCTAGAATCCAAACATCCCGACACGGATGACTTCTAGCTCGCGGAAGAATTAATAAGCCCGTTCGGTGGCGGAACGAATCCGGCAGTTTCTCGAACCACGAGAACTCGGTGGCCGCTGTGATTAATTGATAAGCCGACTCGTTCGAGCGCGCGCACATATCCAGTTTGCTCGAAAATTTATGCCACCGGATTCCCCGGAATCCACGGTCGGCGAAATTTCCGAAGGAAAGAAGATTTCCGACGAACACACGCTCGATCGTTTTTAGGTACGGAATACTTTTACGTGGCGAAGAACGCGTTGTACGCGAACAAGTCCCTGGACAGGGACACGTTGGGCCCGCCTCCGAGTGGTCCTGGACCCCGTATTAAAATTCAAGTTCAGTGCGTCGTCTGGGAGGAAACCACTGGTATACAGTACGCACCGATCAAACATCTGGACGTGGATATTCTGGATCAGGACGACAACGTTCCCATCGCTCAGGGGAACGATTCCGTCGTGATAACACTTGGAGATTTCACCGTGGTGAGTTTCGCAGCCTCGAATACCGACAAGTATCGATTCGTCGTCGAGACGACCTGGCCCGGCACGATTCGATTTCACGATCGTGTCAACTTTCTGATAAATGGTCGCGCCCGTTCTGCTTACAATGAACCGAAAAGGCGACGACGTGCTTAATCAACGTCGCATCGTTCTCGGGATCGTTTTCGGCATTGTTTCGCTGAACGGGCGCGAAGAGACACGGAAACGACGAAAGAATCCCGAAGAAAGGATGGAAGGATAAGCGAGAGGTGGAAGAAAAATGCCCCCGGGCGGCCTGATTTTGATTAAGCTCCGATCTCTTTTCTTCCTTCGACTGTCCGGTCTCTGTGGAATTGTGCCTCGGGCTAGGCGCGAACGCGTTTTTCATTCGTCTCCACGCACTTCGTGTTGCCTTCGCGCGATTTCCTTTTCCCCATTGTACGCGACAACCAACCAACGCGCTCGATGTCAGGTGAAGCTTTCAAGAATGTTCTGTTAAATTTTCAACTAAATTTATAATTACTAAAACTTTGCGTGATCAACCTTAAATGTTGCTCGCTGTTATCGTTGTCTCGTTCGACAGGGCGACAAACTAGTGGACGATAACAGTTTAATACTGACGGACGCGGACGCGGAAGGCAGCAATCGGTATGTCGTTCACATTTTGGGAGACACGCACAACGCCCTGAACATCACCTACAACACTCTACAGATCGAAGCTTCAAAAGGCGTCCCCTATACCGCGATACTTCCCAGTAAGTCTTCGCAAGAAACGAAGAATCAAATCGCAAGATACACGGTTCGAATTATTTTGTTACAGAGATTTTCGCGAAAACCACCCTTCTACCAAAATCTCCGTATCGCGTGACGATTCAAGTACAGGACGTGTATCTACTTCCGGAATACGGAGAAAACACGGTGAGTACCGAATAAGTCGAACGCGTTCAAGTTTTCGTGGAATCGAAATCGGTGCCGGAACACCGTGTCCTCGCGAATTAAATTTATTATCCCCGTATCGTCGCAGACAAAGAAACCGCTACCAGCGAGGGTAGATAACGCGATGAAGGACTTCCGACGGTTTTCAACAGAGATTTCGCGTCGAACACGGACTGATGAAACCACGACGAATTTAATTACTGTAGTCCCTTTTCCGCGTGCTCTCAAAGAGAATCTCTTGAAACAGTCTTCGCGAATAACCGGTGTTTCACCAGACAGAAATCCCGCTCGAGTGGACGAGCACAGTCGAGCAAGGTCGGCCCGTAGTTCTTTTGAATCTCGAGGAAACCGTCTCGATAACGAAGAGACGATTAAACGGCACCTTGTACCCGTTCGATTGTATTCGCTGGTATGATCGCGTCCTGTTCAACAAATTAGATACCGAGCGCAGCAAGGACGGTCGGTGGGCGCGGTTTCAACCCCGGATTTCGCGGAGCGTGTTAAGCGGGAATTAATGGGGATCGTTTTGCGTTGAATATGCGCAACGTTCCTCGCGTGGGCGGAAGCCTCTTATTATCCTTGGCTCCAAACTTCCGATTTAAACGTTTCCCGGAAATCGCACACGTTGGGTGGACCGAAAGAATTTTCAAATATTCACCGAATCGTCCACGTAGAACGACTGGTATCACGGTACACCCTCTTTCTCTTCTCTTTAACTATCGATTCATCGCGGTTCGGTAAGGTCTACTGTCCACCAACAGTGACAGTAGACTTAAACCGAGAAGAAACGATTAAATAAACGGCTAAACAAACGATTCGACGGTTCATCCTGAACGGATGATAGATGAACATCACGCTAACCTTCTACGGACCGGAGCATCGAACGACCACGACGACCGTGCCTTCGGTGCCGAGCAGACAACAGATTTCCTATCCTTCGAGCGTGAAAGTTGCTCGAGTTGCTACTCGTTACTCGCGAGTGGCGAAACCCTCGAACGAACCGCATCCCTCTCTGAGGTTTAGCATACAGGGCTCGGCTGCGTTCGCCGTCACACAGAAAGGAGGTATTATCTACGTGGCGGATGAACAACTCCTCGACACAGAGCCGAACAATTTGGTGTAAGTCTCAATCGCGGATTCCAAAAATCGTCCCCAGTTCGTCCTCGAAAAATGACCACCATCCCTGTCCTAATTTCAGGCTCAGGATCAAATGGAGCGGAAAGGATCGCGCCGTCGTCTCCTCGAAAGCCATACGAATCAACTTGGCGGCCGTGTCTGCTTCGAAACTCGACACGTGCAATCGCACCCAGTCCGAGCAGGAGAACGAACGTTTGCACTCCTGTGCGAACGCTGAAACGCCGGAGGTTTGCGAATCGAGCTGCGGCGTGGCCAGCGGGCTCTTCAGGTGAAGTTTCGCTCTTATTTTTAACAGGAACAACGATCGCAGTTTTCTGTCATCTATGCTTCTATATCCATGGTTGTGTACCAGAGATGGGCAAATTCGTTGTATAAGTAAAAAATTTCGAATAACGAATAAAGAAAGTAATTTCGAGCTATTAAATGTGGAAATTCTAATTTCTATAAGAGAGTACACATTCGACAAACAATTGTTTCATATTATTAACTCGTTGAGGCACACGATTTTAAAGAAAATAAAAACCCTGGTTGCACAGAATTTTTTTTAATATAAAAAAAAATTAACTTCAACTATTCGAGGTGGGTTAAAATATATCCCATCACGCATAAAACTCTAAGCAAAAGGTCGGACATTTTTTAACCCACCTAACCCTAAAGAGTTAACTGTTTAACGGTTAGGATGACGATCCCATATATTACTCGAATATAATTGTGCCCAACTCTGCCGTGTACCTTCCTGACCCTTCGGGAATTTTGTCTTCAGCAAAGGCAGCTTCTCGGGGCAATGCGTGTGGCGATGGAACAAACGTTCCAACGAAGCTGCGGTCATGTCGGATCATTACCCAACCTGTTCTCCTGACTTGACTCACTGTCCCGACAACCGATGCGACGAACTCGAAGAGCTGGATCCCCGTATATGCCCGCAAGATTGCATCATTGGGAACTTGCGCGTGCGACGATATGCTGCAGTGTACCTGCAACGTCGACCGTTTGCCGTCGCGGAACGATAACTCGGGTCGAGGCAATAAAGACGGACGTGACGACGGTAAATCAAGAGATCGAGAGAACGAGGTTCTTGTATCTGACGCTCGAAAAGGTATGTGGAATATATTCGCGATATTTTACACTTCCGATTCTTCTTTCGATCTTAAAAGTCCGACACACCGAATTCTTTCCCAGCATCCGGCGGACCCTGCGGCCCCTTTTGCATGATAGGAGCGATCGGTGGTAGTTTCTTCGTGCTGATCGCGATCGTTGGCTCCTTCGTCACGTCGAGATACAGGTAAACACTTCGCCCTTCGAAAAACTCCCAACGATCGAGCGTGTCACGATCGGTGCGATGTTTTGCCGGGACAAAAAGCACGCGGATGTTCGCAACGACAGCTGGAAAGTCACAGCTGGGCTGTATCGGAGATAATTCTCAAAACTAGCCCTTTGTTGCGGGCAGCCGTCGATCGATCGATCGACGAACGAACAAACTTCCGATAGGAAAACACGGGGCTGTCGCTCTCGAATATTTCGGGGACGCGCGGTAGATACGCTTATCTAGGTGCACTATCGATTTCTCTTGAACGCGACCATTCTATCGGGCAACCGGTATACTTTCTTCTATTCACCGAGTGATGTCATCCGACGTACGTGCCGTAAAACCGATCGAACAGAAACCATTCGAAAAGGTGAAAAACGACTCGAGGACGACACTTCTACCTTCTTATCATCGTCGACGTACCGAACGGCAAGAAGCGTCCCAACAGCGCGCACCAAATTAAAAAACTTTTCCGCCGTAAACACGTAAGCTACGTTACTTTTCGTGGAAGAGTGTTGTGGTATCATACGACCCGGGTTACAAGTAAGGTGCACTAAAAACGTTTATGAGATACGGTCGTAGGACCGATTCAACGCGTTGAAATATTAACGCTTAATTGAAACGACAAAATCACCTTCTTGGAGAACAATTACGATTTTATTGCGTGTCAATTGGTTTAACACTCTCGCGTTTAAAAGCCTTACTTATCGTCTGCAAAGAATAGTCGAACGGCACTTACGCTTATCGAACGTACGGCTTTTCACGCGCTTTCGAGTAGAAATGATAAAACGATACACGAACAGATGCTGTGTATAGAAGTAGAAAAGGAGAAACGAAGAAAGTATTCCGAAGCGTTTGTCCGCCACGCCGACGCGAAATCAATCTGGCTTTTACATATACATGTATACGTCCCCTGCCCGTAGCGTCCTCGGTTCTTCTCGCTTTCTATTATTTGCCAAAAAAAGGAACGTCAAATACGAAATACGACCAACAACGATGCATCTTTTAGCCACGCTTATTCTGATCAAAGTACTTTTCATTCTTCCGACATCGCGGGAATCTTTAGAATGGCCGCGAAGGGAGCTCGTCGAGACGGCAAGCGAAGAACAGCGAATGGCGACGCGAACGGAATTGGTATACTGCCTTCCGATTACATAGATCGAGGAGACGGACTGCTGATCGGATTGGACACCTTCACCGCGGCGAACCGGCACCTCTTACTTCCGAAAAGCTGCCCGGTAAGTAGTATCATATATTTAAATTCTAATCATCAATATCCACCCCTGAACTTCACCGAGAAATTAATGTTTACACATTAATATTTTATTATAAATTTCCTATTGCGACTAAATCCATACTGTATAATATATTGATGTAACTGTTTCTAATCTTATTTTCATTCATTGTTATATATGTATATTTGGTTTATACCCGTTAAATTACTAAATAAATAAATAATGTCTCGATAGCCGGATCCAAAATGGGAATTTCCACGGTCGCGACTAACGATCGAACAAGTGCTGGGCGAAGGGGAGTTTGGACGCGTTTTGCGGGCCAAAGCGATCGACATCGGCGGAGGAACAGGTCCGATGACCGTCGCGGTGAAGACGTTGAAGGAGAACGCTTGCGCTTCGGAGCTTGCAGACTTGCTCTCGGAATATCAACTTTTGAAGGAAGCGCAGCACCCGAACGTGATTAGATTGTTGGGTGCATGCACCACTCCCGGAGCGCCAGTCTACCTCATTATCGAGTTCGCGGAATTTGGTTCTTTGCGGTGAGTATCTAAGGCTTTTTTTTCTTATTCCAGTCTAAGATTGTTCTTCGAGAAGGTTTGCTTGCCGTCGTTCTGGCCGTTCAGTGACATATCGAGACGGCGACGGCAGACCGGCCGTGGAATTTCGTATTGTGAAATTCCGTCGGCGTCCGGACGATAACCGTCGCGGTAATTAAATTCTTCCTGTGTTTAGTGTTTTCACGGAACGCGTGAAAGCAACGCGCACGAAATACCTTGCCGGGTGCAACATAACGTTAAACGATGGCACAGATAGGGCACCGACCGTGCCGATACGACGTCCAGTTCTGTACCCTATACAGGGTGTAACAAAAATGTTGGAGGACCCGAAAATGGGAGACTCGTGAGGTGATTTGAAACAAGTTTTTCTTTAGCAAAAATGTTATCCGAGGCTTTGTTAACGAGATATTAATGAAAAACTCCGACCAGTCAGAGCGCGAGTCTGCCGGCCAAGCTTCTTGCGGGATTTTTCGTTAATATCTTGTTAACGAAGCCTCGGATAACATTCTTGCTAAGGAAAAACTGCTTTCAAATCACCCCACGAGTCTCCCATTTCCGGGTCCTCCAACATTTTTGTTGCACCCTGTATGGTTAACGTGAGTCTACTGTAATCCGATATTGCGAGAACGATGATCTATATACGCGATTTGCAGGAACTACTTGAGACGTAGCAGACATTTGGAATCAGACGGAAGAAACGGTGGAGGTTGCTTGTCGTTGTCCAACGCCGACGAACAGTCGCGAGTCGCGGACGTATCATCGACGTACACGGTTACGCCACGCGACATCCTCTCATTCGCATGGCAAATAAGCAAAGGGATGGCCTATCTTGCCGACATCAAGGTACATAATCGGACAAGTCGACAATCATTCGCACGAAAACGAGATTAACGAATTTAATTCCGACGTGTAGCTAGTTCACAGGGATCTCGCCGCCAGAAACGTGCTACTCGCAACAGGAAAGGTTTGCAAGATCTCCGATTTCGGTCTTACGCGAGACGTGTACGAGGACGACGCGTATTTAAAGCGCAGTAAAGGACGAGGTACGTGGAATTGTCCGTATAAATATAATGTACCAAACGTGTCGTCCTTTTCCCGTCGGAATATTCGCGGAAAACATTCGTACGGTCATTTCGAATCGATTCGAAACGGCTCGAGGTTGTTAAGCCAGTATGTTCCGGCCTCTCTGTTCCCACTCGTAAATCTCCAAGGATTTGCGGAAGAAGAACGCCAGCGAGTCTAAATCCCTTCGTTTAATCCGAGACTTTACGATTTGCCCCTTAGTTCCCGTGAAATGGATGGCACCCGAATCCCTGGCCGATCATGTGTACACCAGCAAGTCGGATGTTTGGAGTTTCGGTGTACTTCTCTGGGAATTGGTGACATTAGGTGCTTCCCCTTATCCGGGCGTCGACGTGCACAATCTGTACAATCTGCTTAAAGCCGGATACCGTATGGAAAGGCCGGCGAATTGTTCGCCGCAATTGTAAGCGATACTTTAAACACTGACCAGTTTGCGAATCGTCGCGAACACGGTAAAATTCGAGCGCGCTTGATGTACCGTCGACGACCGTGATTGATCTGACCGTAGGTATAAATTGATGGTGTCGTGTTGGCATCAGGAACCAGGATCGAGGCCTTCTTTCAGAGAGCTCACCAGTCACTGGGAGAAGATGTTGGAGGACAGCGTCGAATACTTGGATTTGAATCCGAGAACTGTCGACAACCGGTCTTACTTCGCTTCCCTTCACGCGTTAGACAGTCCAAGCAGTGAGTACATTTGTTCTCCTTATGACGTATTCATCCGCCAAAGAAACCAACCTATACGCGACGTATAATGCTTGATAATATTCGTCGATGCGACAACAGGTTCCGGCAACGACGAACCCGACGACACCGAAGAAAAAACAACGACTTTCGCGAACAGTGTCGTCAACTACCTCGAGAAACCGTCTTCCGACACGGTCACCAAATGCGACAAAGTCGACAAGCTGCATACACTTTGGCAGGAGCCTGTCACATTTTTCCCCGTTACCGAACAACGGAGCAAGCCGAAGTACGTTAACGATCAACGATCGAACTCCCGTGTCAATCACTACGAAAGCCCGATCAAATTCCGAAATCCGAGTGTCACGAGCGACAGCGAGAACGATTTGGCTACGCCGACCAACGAACGTCCGCAATCCTACATCGACATGGAAGGCAAAAAATGTTTGGAAACCGAAGATCTCCTTGTATTTACCAGTATAAACGATAACAACCGAGGCGAAGATAAGTGAACGATTCGAAGGTGAACATTAACGAATTCTATGTTGCGATAGAAATGAATCGAACGATGACGCTAAAGAATTTTCGATTGTAAACTATAGTAACATGAATTGTGTAATGAAAAAACTTATTTTTATGTATCAAATATCGGATCGTCTATCGAGTATAACGGACAACTGTCTGATTCGCCTAGTCCTGTAGATTCGTTTGATTTTCTATGTAAACAGTACGCACCTTTCTACTCTTATACTCTTACGATCGGAACACATAACGGCAGAAACGTATGTCGTATCTTTCGATGCTCCGATCTTTCTGTGCTCCGTTGTTTAGAAAAAATTTCGTTCGTACGAAGTCATCGTACCGTTTAACCTTTTACAATAAAAAAAAGAAGAAGAAACAATCAGATTAATCTTATATTGTAAAGCGTTTAAGCTTCGAATAGAACGAAATGCATTTTTCTTCGAGCACGTGCTTCCGGCTTTCGAGTACACGTTACGTGGATATAGTTTGCGCAATATTGGATAACGCGGACTACAAAGCGAAGATTTCGATAACCGTCGACGCGCGCAACGCGAAGATTACTGGCAAATGCGTCAATGTAATTATATTTGAACAAGACTGCGTATCCATAACACGTCGAATGAATAAGTCACTTTTGTATTTATGTATAAAGCAGAGAGCATTCCATTACATTAGTTACTTTGCGAAGGTTGACTAGTTTTAGCAAATGCGCACCACCTGAATGTAACTGTTACCGTGCCACCGTTACTTTCTTGTACCAAATATATTCGTATATATAAATTCACAATTGTAAATCGTTAACGAATGGATGCAAACACTTACGGTGACGAATAATTGTCCCGTTTATTAAATCGATATACAGGTATATAAGACATCCTATGTCCATACGAAATCTGTCTTGCATAAACAACTATACGACGTAGGACTGGTAAAAGCCTCGAAATTCAGTCTCACGCAAGATAAATTTCTCGCTGAACGGCGATGAATAGACGGTACTTAAAAGTACGGAATCACAAGTTCAATTCGTCGATGCAAAACGAGCCGGTGTTTTTCAACAATGATTTAGCGGTAAACGTCGCATCTCCATCCGGTTCGTTTTCCCCGAGCAAATTCAACTCGTTGATATTTGTCGCAAATGTTTGAGATACTACGTTACCTTTCGTTGCTATCGATATAGGTCTATGTTTCTCGGGCATTCGCTCGGATTCGGACGTTAAAAGATTTTCTGGAACATTAGCGCGTAACATTAAATTTAACGTAACGTGGAATGATTGAAAATTAATTGGAAATCCGCAAAAGAAAAAAAAAACTAACCAGTCTCCCGTGCTTCTCTCGTCGAATTCGCGTCTTCCTCGAGTATCTCCAGTTTCGCTAACTTCACGCTATCTAAAAACTCCTTATCGGACACGGAAATGCTACCGACGCGTTCCATTTTGTGAATAACTTTTACGAGCTTGGGCAGCTCTTTTGGTAAACAGAATCTCGTCATGTGCCTCGTTTCTTCGGGCATGTCTTCCGGCTTACAATATGGCAGTTGTACAATATAATATCGTTTGTCTCTTTGACATTGATTTTCTCTCACTAACTTTAATAGATCGTTGTCGTTATCGCGGTAAATGAACGACACGGTAGGCTTCTTTGGTGGCGGGGAAGCGGCGACAAGGACAACATCCGCGCTCGGAAAAGCAGCGTTCCAACAATCCCTTAGATCCTGCGTTAACGCAAAATGGGGACACTTGAAAATTTACACGAAAAAGTTGCTATCGTACCTAACAGAAATTGTTATAGGCGGTTGTCTTTGCTACTGACTTTTCCCGTGGCGTCCGTAATCCCGAGCATGTCTATTACCGTTACATTCGAATTTCTCAAATATTTGGCTAGCTCGTTCATCGCGTTGATATGCGTTAGACGGGTCGGTGAATAGATCAACAAACAGGTAGGTTTTCGTCTCCGTTTCGATCCCTCTATAAACGTTTACGCGTGCAATACACGAATAGAAGTATAATTCAGGCATGAAATGAATCGTCGCTAAAGCAGTTAGTATTGTTACATTACCCTTTCTGTACAGCTTGTAAAGATGATAAAGAACGTACAGCATCACAGGCGGTATCCAAACTGTACTGATAATCATAATCAGGAGACGATCGGTCGTTTCCGCTGTAAATCATAAAATTCGACGTGCAACCGATCATGCAGCAAATCTGATCTTTCTCAATATGTATATGTAAATATTTTTCTTGCTTACGTATAATAATAAGCGGCGTGGTTGTGTTCACGCATCCATTATCTCCGCAATCTGGATGTATGGCGGAGACATTGAAGTAAAATTCACCGGTGAGAGCGGTAAAGTTATACCCGAAAGTTAGATGTTGGTTACTCGTGGTCGACAAAACATTTTTATACTCGACTGTGTCAGTGTTCCTGTTTATCAACCAGACTTTGTACTCCGATACGTTAAAAGATTCTGGTAGACCCTGAATATGCAACGAAAGGAGAGGCGCGTACGATACATCGATGTATACAAATGGAGTGTACGCTTTCACGCTTACACCTTCTCCTAGGACGAGAAACAATAGGATGGTAAGTTTTTGGCGATGCACGATGATCGCTCGCTTGAAAACTCACCAGTAAATTTTTGTCGAGGAACATTAAAAATATATCGCTTGCTGTAGTTATACGTTTCACTAATTACCAGAATATCTAGCTGGTAAGGAAAAGATTCAAACGAGTTATTCGAAAATGGGCAAGAAACATATAAGTCCTTTGGTGCAGGATGTGTTTCATTCCCATACAATACTATGTGTCTACAAGCTGACTCGTTTGGATTCAACAAGTTCTGATAACGTGTGATTAACCCTATATCATTGTAAAAGAGACTGACATTTTATCCTTTGACTCATCATTATTTCAGCAATGTATTCTAATCTAAACGCTTACCATGAAAACTGGCATTAGCCAAGCTTAAATTGAAGGCAGTTACTTTCACCTCAGATTTCTCAGTAATGTATTCCTTATAAGTATACGCACGTAGGGTAATTTTGTCTGAATCTGGATTTGAAGCTTTATGATGGGAATTTTCAAACGTGAGCTTGGTGCAATCTATTAAAATAAATTGGTTGTTATCACTTTCAACCTTCGTTAACTTAGACCTATAGTCGAACAATGCACTTAGAAACACTTGTTACTACTTAGAATGTATTTGCTTATCTCTATACCTTCTCCCTTTTGGACCTTTGTCAGTAGACACTGGAAACCAGGTATTGGAGTTAAGATCGTCTATAATAAATAATTACAAATTAGCAAGACTTAATTGTAACTGCTAAAAATTTATATGGAATCGAAAACGAGTTCGCAGTTTAGAAAAAGAGATCAACATTACCGAGTTCTGACAGTAGTCTGGGTAACAGTCGAGATGTCCAACGCTTCTGCCAAAGAAACAAAGAAGTATCGCCAAGTTGACGATGTTCCACATTGTAACGTTGCAGTTGCGAATCTGAATGTAGGCTTTGTCGAAATTAACATATTTACGTTACACTACGCATCAACTTTCTTGATAATAGGCGATCTTTCATTCTCACAATATCACACACTCTAGATTTTCCAACACTAATCGACGCAACGTGTCTGGAGAAAAAAAACACTGGACGCTTACTGTCACAAACTTACGTGAAACGCCTTCTGTCGTGAAAAAGTGTAGTTAACAGTCGTTACCATTCAAGGTAAATAATACGTCAATATTTCTTCACCGGTATAAGAATATTGTTATGTATGTATGTATATTTTATCTTGTTTGCGTTTTCGGAGACTGTCTCACATAGTGGCAGAAATTTTTCTTATGATTTAGAGACCGTTAAAAGCAGAAACGTTCTATGGTGCCGATACTATAGATTCCTTGGGCCATGAAGTCCCGCAAGGTGATAAGGATGGTTCCATCTCGGAAGCTTTGATAGTACTATAGAAAAGAGGTTGTGCACTGTGTAATGAATAAAGGCTTCTATTAAAACACAGATACATATAGCGAACTGTACCGACAGCGAACTAGAGACGACTATACCGCACACAGTGACTTTCTCCTCGCTACTAACACGAGAGAGTGAGACACTACGGAGAGAAAGAGACGGCAGTATCCGCTCCCTACAATACAACGAAGCTACCACCACCATGTGTCAAGAACAGTGTATTAATTTATTAAGAGCTTGCATGTTTCACCGCAGATGGCATTACGTGTTTCTAACCAACAACGTTGTATACAAAAAATAAAATACTAATAAAAAGTACACAACATCTAACAATTGTTAATACACAACATCAGTTCAGGAGATTTCAAAAAATAATAGGACGCCTTTGACAAAAGTACACAAAAACATTGAGTAGTATCAAATGTCACGACATATGAAAGATGTTTTGAATGTCTGTCGATGCTTGGTCTGTTGGATTATAAGAAACGACTATCAGAACTTAAAAGCTGTATAGAATATTGCCTTGAAAATGTGTTGGATACTGTTACAATGAACATATTCACTCCGTTTCCTATTTTGATTGCACAATTTGCTAACTAAGTTAAATACGTCACGAAATTCACTAATCACTGAATCTATAAGTACCAAACGTTACAATTTAAAAAGAACGTATCCAGTATATAACGAAAATAAACTACAGTCGTCTGAATAGTATACTGTTCCACTGATGTGAATAAATCTTGAAGCACAGAAAGAACTTTTAGTATGTAAAACGTAATGGAACAATGTGGCCGGATCACGGGGGGTTCGAGCGTTGATTGGCGATGGTGGATCGTGTGGGTGAAGATGGGTGGCGCAAGAGTCGACTGTGATTGGTCGGGATAACCACGGCGGTTGGGGTAGTCGAAATTCAAGCGAAGAAGCGGCAGTTAGTGTAGCGACCGTCGTGCGCGTGTAAGCGCTAGACGTAGCCGCGTAGAATTCATAGTGTCGTTTCGTTTTTTGTTCGTCATTTGTCTCGTGCGTTCGCGGGAATATCAATTCATCGGTTCATTTTGAATTTGTTCGCAGTTCGGTGAAAACCACGATCGTTTTTTAGTTGAAATCGCATAAATCGTGTCATCGCTTCGCGTCCACGCGATGACATATCGCGGAGTTATGGTAATACGTTCTGTCACAGTGAATTAATAGTAGTGAGAGCATCATCGGGCAACGATTACTACGATGATCAGCTGACGGATAGAAATCACTTCCACGTCCCTACGGCGTCAACGGAGTTGCCACAGGTACTGGAAGGTAAGAATTCCACATCTTTTGTTCACGTAGATCGTCAGTTGTATATTTTGTTCACACGAACTAACCTCAATACATGCATATGTCACGGGTTAAAACTTTTTATCCCGTTCTATTAGATACAGATCTATAGATTCTATAGATTCATCGTGATCTATTATTCTATGTTTTCGTTTCCGTATGTTTTGTGGACTGTTTGCTCGTCGTATTGTTCAGGGAACAAAAACATTTTATTGTTCTCCATTGTTCCTAGAGCCCAACGATTGCCAAACCTGAATACAATTAATACTTGTAAGCAGACATTTTTGAACACATCCAACCATATGTATTTGCCTGAAACCGCTCGTGACGTACATATAATCTCTCGTGTATACATCGACAAGTTTGTAGTTTCAAAAATTTTCTCGTATACGCAGTTGCACGGTTTTGGTTTGTGTCTCTTTTCACGAGTGGTTCACTCGCACGCGAAATCAGTTGAAAGCGATTCTTCCAACCGGACAATGTGTTTTCCGTTACCTTTGTTGATGGTCTGAGGGTCGAGCGAGGGACAAACATTTGGGTACTGCTAGGCTTGGGCTCTATAAAGAGGGAAAAGGGCGGTGAATTGTGTGTCGAAATAGGAAAGTGAAAGGGGAAAGAGGGTAGGCAAAAACAAGCAACACGTCGAGGCACCGCGAGGCCCGAACAGTTTCACGGAAATCGGGTCGTGCTTTATGTTTACTATTGTCAATCGCGTTGAGGTTATTCTTTTACGACGTTCATTCGATGTTTTGCTAATTTGTCACGATTGACTGACAATTCTTGATAAGACGGGAGCAGTGAAAACGAGATGGTGAATGAATGAATGGGGAAAAATGACTGATATAACCAGAACCTAATTATTGGTTACTTTAAGAGCGGTTTTATGCATCATTTCGTGATTGAAGCGTAACCGCGGAGCGTACCAAAGGATGTACGAGGTCGTAACCAGTGGTAAATGTCGTACGTAGTTTTATGTCGATTCCACGGATGGACGTGACCAAACTGCTTTTGATCGAGGAAATGTCACGTCGCCGACTCCCTTTTACGTATGCATCGAAGACCGGAGAATCGACCGCTAAAACGATTACCGTCCTCAATTTTCTCTAGTATCTCGGAAACAGCGCGTTTTCACTACATCTAGAGCTTACAAAGAGCCACCGAACCGCATCGGTTTACCGTGGATCTTCGATGTCTGGCGTTTATGATTTAATAATGCTTTTGGCGTTTGATGAAGCTGTAAGATCTGCTTTCGTACACTCTTCGACAGACATCCGAGATATTTTGTAACGTCGAGGATTAGTTCAGACACGTTCAGAGAAACAAAAAGACCAAGTGTCTTGTGAATATACAGGGTGTTCGCGATAATTCGTACCATCGTTTTTTTTGTAAACGGTAAGCAGAAAAAAACCGAAAAGAAGGCAGTTGTATATTTTACTAGTAATATAATAGCGTATCTAAAGTTTTTGTATTTTTAATATTTTTTTAGAAACAAGGGTGGCCTTAATTTTTTCAAATAGAATGCTACATATTTTTTTACATCATGTGAAAGCGGGCTTTAAGGCGAGTTCAACTATGTAGTATTCTATGGTCTTCTTAAACACAAGGAAGCCTCGAATAAATTCGAGAATTAATTAGTGTTAATTCGAATGAGAGGACGAATGCGACGAAGAACTATTCGGGGAATGCGTGCTCGCAAAACTCGAAGCTTTCCTCTCTCGATTACGATCACCCCGCGAGTCTCCTCGGCCATGTACTTACACGGTACAACCTCGAAGCATGCACACGTAATTTCTCATGGACGTCCGGTAGCGGCGAGGTGTTCGCCCGCAAACACGAAGATCCCTCGCGATAATCGAAACGACCCCGATGAAGCGTGCGAATCGAGTCTAAATAAAGATCGCTCCACGTGAATTCCGTCCCAATTTTTGACCGTGCCGTTCTCTTATTTTTCGAGTCGTTTAGATGCTCGATAAGACGCAAGCGAGGGAGGTCTGGGTCGCGAACGAAATCGGAACGCAGTTCTCGTGTCCTCGGTGGAAGTTAAACTCGCGTATCAAAATATCCAGAGTTTCTTCGTTCGATTATTTCTATTTTGTTTTTCTGCTTAATTTTCATCTTGAGCTTTGTTGATCATCCTATATGATGTTTCGCAACGGCCACGGTTCGCCGACCTTTCATCGTATGTATAAAGCGCAGTGGTCGTCACTGTTGTGTGTTAGAGTTTGATTGGATCAGAAGGCAGGTTAACACGGATATTGTGGCGCACGTGTAGACGCGAAAAGTATACCATGTTCGGAAAAAAATAGATATCACACTTTCTTTCGTTTAGAATAATATCAGTGAACATTTGTTCTCTGCAACAACGATAGTTTGACAGTTCCAATTGTGTCTCCGATTTCCTGGATAGGATTTAAAACGGTAATACGTGCAACTAGAATGGGAATAAAGCATACAACTCGTTTTTAAATTCGAGGATTCAAGTTTAATTAAATTATCGATAGTAATATTAAACGAAATATCTGTGAGATTTTATTAATTAAGCTAAATTAATATTAGCGTACGAAGGGGATTTTATCAATGCTTTGTGTCTTTGTTACACCGATAAATACGTCTGTTCGTGAAGTTACGAATCTATACAATCACATTGGCACATGTAAGGCTGCGGTATCAACACACATGGAGATCAACCCTTTGACAACTTGGACTTCCGGGTATTATGGCTACGAAAAAAAAAAAACAAGCGGACTACTATCACAGTAAACCGTACAATGACGAAATGGTAATTTCTCTCGTGCGACGACAAATAAACTTGTTATTTCATCCTGAACGTATTCTACAGGTTCTTCGATCGCGTAGAATAAGAGTAGAAAGTATTGCGTAATTCTATCGTACCTGGGAGATTGACGCGGATCTCGACTTCGTTAGGGAAGATTTAATTAATAACGAGACGCGTGCATAATTAAAGAAGCTTTTCGATGTCGTACTACTTACGGCTTGCAAAGTATACACAACGATTCGTAGGATCGCGAATTGGTTTTTAAGGTGATTAGAATGGACGGAGAGCTCGTGTTATGCTGCGACGAGTAGTCCAGTTTATCGCAGTCGCGTACTAATTATGTTCCCAGTCAGTGCTTTCTGAATAGACCGCTATTCAGAATTCGTCATAAGTCTTTCGATAGGCCGGACAGCGGGTGAATCCGATGGTCCTACATCAAAT